AGTTAGTGGATATGTACAGATCAGTAGGTGGGTGTGTACAGATCAGTTAGTGGATATGTACATATCAGTGGATGTGTACAGATCAGTTAGAGGATGTGTACAGATCAGTTAGTGGATATGTACAGATCAGTTAGTGGATATGTACAGATCAGTTAATGGGTGTGTACAGATCAGTTAGTGGATATGTACAGATCAGTTAGTGGGTGTGTACAGATCAGTTAGTGGATATGTACAGATCAGTTAGTGTGTGTGTACAGATCAGTTAGTGGATATGTACAGATCAGTTAATGGGTGTGTACAGATCAGTTAGTGGATATGTACAGATCAGTTAGTGTGTGTGTACAGATCAGTTAGTGGATATGTACAGATCAGTTAATGGGTGTGTACAGATCAGTTAGTGGATATGTACATATCAGTGGATGTGTACAGATCAGTTAGAGGATGTGTACAGATCAGTTAGTGGATGTGTACAGATCAGTTAGTGGATATGTACAGATCAGTTAATGGGTGTGTACAGATCAGTTAGTGGATATGTACAGATCAGTTAGTGGGTGTGTACAGATCAGTTAGTGGATATGTACAGATCAGTTAATGGGTGTGTACAGATCAGTTAGTGGATATGTACAGATCAGTTAGTGTGTGTGTACAGATCAGTTAGTGGATATGTACAGATCAGTGGATGTTTACAGATCAGTTAGAGGATGTGTACTGATCAGTTAGTTGGTTTGTACAGATCGGTTAGAGGATGTGTACAGATCAGTTAGTGGATGTGTACAGATCAGTTAGTGGATATGTACAGATCAGTTAATGGGTGTGTACAGATCAGTTAGTGGATATGTACAGATCAGTTAGTGGGTGTGTACAGATCAGTTAGTGGATATGTACAGATCAGTTAATGGGTGTGTACAGATCAGTTAGTGGATATGTACAGATCAGTTAGTGTGTGTGTACAGATCAGTTAGTGGATATGTACAGATCAGTGGATGTTTACAGATCAGTTAGAGGATGTGTACTGATCAGTTAGTTGGTTTGTACAGATCGGTTAGTGGGTGTGTACAGAACAGTTAGTGGATGAATTGCAGATCAGTTAGTGGGTGTGTGCAGATCTGTTAGTGGATGTGTACAGATCAGTTAGTGGATGTATACAGATCAGTTAGTGGGTGTGTACAGATCAGTTAGTGGGTGTGTGCTGATCTGTTAGTGGATGTGTACAGATCAGTTAGTGGATGTATACAGATCAGTTAGTGGATGTGTACAGATCAGTTAGTGGGTGTGTACAGATCAGTTAGTGGATATGTACAGAACAGTTAGTGGATGTGTACAGATCAGTTAGTGGATATGTACAGAACAGTTAGTGGATGTGTACAGATCAGTGGATGTGTACAGATCAGTTAGTGGATGTGTACAGATCAGTTAGTGGGTGTGTACAGATCAGTTAGTGGATGTGTACAGATCAGTTAGTGGATGTGTACAGATCAGTTAGTGGATGTGTACAGATCAGTTAGTGGATGTGTACAGATCAGTTAGTGGATGTGTACAGATCAGTTAGTGGATGTGTACAGATCAGTGGATGTGTACAGATCAGTTAGTGGATGTGTACTGATCAGTTAGTGGATGTGTACAGATCAGTTAGTGGATGTGTACAGATCAGTTAGTGGATGTGTACAGATCAATTAGTGGATGTGTACAGATCAGTTAGTGGATGTGTACAGATCAATTAGTGGATGTGTACAGATCAGTGGATGTGTACTGATCAGTTAGTGGATGTGTACAGATCAGTTAGTGGATGTGTACAGATCAGTTAGTGGATATGTACAGATCAGTTAGTGGATGTGTACAGATCAGTTAGTGGATGTGTACAGATCAGTTAGTGGATGTGTACAGATTAGTTAGTGGATGTGTACAGATCAGTTAGTGGATGTGTACAGATCAGTTAGTGGATATGTACAGATTAGTTAGTGGGTGTGTACAGATCAGTGGATGTGTACAGATCAGTGGATGTGTACAGATCAGTGGATGTGTACAGATCAGTTAGTGGATGTGTACAGATCAATTAGTGGATGTGTACAGATTAGTTAGTGGATGTGTACAGATCAGTTAGTGGATATGTACAGATCAGTTAGTGGATGTGTACAGATCAGTTAGTGGATGTGTACAGATCAGTTAGTGGATGTGTACAGATCAGTTAATGGGTGTGTACAGATCAGTTAGAGGATATGTACAGATCAGTTAGTGGATGTGTACAGATCAGTTAGTGGATGTGTACAGATCAGTTAGTGGGTGTGTACAGATCAGTTAGTGGATGTGTACAGATCAGTTAGTGGATGTGTACAGATCAGTTAGTGGATGTGTACAGATCAATTAGTGGATGTGTACAGATTAGTTAGTGGATGTGTACAGATCAGTTAGTGGGAGATTGCAGATCAGTTAGTGGATGTGTATAGATCAGTTGGTGGGTGTGTACAGATTATTTTTAGTCTCGTGTAATTGTAATTTAGGCTTAATAAAAATAATTGTTCTCTACCATTCTGGATCTTGAGTCTTAATAAGAGTAGGCATTGTCTTGAACTGAATATGATGTAGTTCATCCAATACATTAGGAGCTGCACCAGAATAGTACAGACTTCTATAGTACAAGGAAAATGTGATGTATCAAATTTAATGGATGTAAAAGTATTGATGAAATAGCAGTGTGATGTTTTAACCTTGACACAACTTTTAGTGCCCACATTGTGTCAAGTGAGAAGGGGATCAAAAGGCTGTGTGGGTTATAGAGATGATATGTACATGAATGATTAACTTTGTGTTTGTGGCAGACTCTCCTCTGTTTATTGGTGCTAAAGTGATTGTTGTACTGGGTTTTTCCCCCAGACTTCACCTGCCTATCATTTCATTAATCAGGAGATTCTGTCTGTCATGTATCAGTGATTTTCTGAATGTAAATGTAAGTCTCGATCAAAAAGGTTTTAATAGAAAAAATAGGAACTTACACTAATTAAATTTTGAAAATTGCTTCTTTAAGAAATAAAAAAACTGAAATGAAGAGAATGCCTTGGCTTATATGCATAAAGTGTTAACGTCAAACATTGATAACAGGTGTTCAGGTGTGATACAGAGAAGGGGACACCTATTCAGCTTGTTTGTCATTCTTGGTTTTTCCAGCTGTAATCAATACCACAGGTGACATGTAGAATACCTTTGCTTATGGATTTACCACATAAATCAATAAACAATAAATCTGACATTGTTAGGAACAGTGTGAACTGTTTGAAGACAATTGTAGGAATTCTTTAGATCAAAAACACTTATCCATTACTTAATTTGATAACGACAATGTAGGCCTAAAACTGGGGGATGGGCTGATACCCGGATATGGCCCAATTTATGCATTGAAAATTTGGATAAAAGAGGATGAGCTTATTCCTTGGCATGGGTGTATACATGGTAAAATAAGGTAAAATAAGGTAAAATTTGTTAATAGTAGCAAATAGTAGAATCTCATATTGTCTGTTTTACTGTCTACCTAAATACCATGTCACATTATGCTAGAGGCTGGTCATGATGTTTTCTAGTGAAAAACTTCTTTTATTGAATCATTTAAATGATGTCAAAAAGAACTACTTTTTGTAAGCACAGTATTTTTATCATCACAAAAGACGATTGTTCACAGTTCCCCTGATTGGTATGAAGACAACTATATTCCCCTAAGTATTAATTAGCTTGATTGTACAGCTGCCTATAAAGAGAAATAATATAAGTAGGCAGGCAGTTTTGTTGCTATTTCTTTGATACATCTTTAAACTGAATTTTCTATAAAAACACTCAGAGAACCAAATAATTTCATTGATTTAGAGAATTCAGGACCACAGTACTTGCTACAAGGTTTCGTTCAAACTTGGCCTGAATGATTGCGGGTAAAGGGATTTTGTATAAAAGGGGGGCCAGGACTGTATGGGGCAGAAGGGGTTGGAAACAGTAGGGGAAATAGAGAAAATTCTTTAAATCATTCTTTGGTAGAAAAGGCAGGATTCTATCCCAATTTTTGTCAGAAGCATCTTTGCTTAATTTTGTTGCCACATAAAAGTATTGCCATGATGAAGCCTTCAGTTATGATTCTGCTAATCCTGTTTTTTTGTATGGTTGCTCAATTTATTTGCAATGTTTTCTTGTTAACATTTGATTATACATGTACATAGCTATATTAATTACTTAAGAAGTTCATTTAGTTTTCTTGTATACACCACTGCAATGTTCTATTTCTTGGGTCTTGATCCACCACTGCAATGTTCCATTTCTTGGGTCTTGATCCACCACTGCAATGTTCTATTTCTTGGGTCTTGATCCACCACTGCAATGTTCCATTTCTTGGGTCTTGATCCACCACTGCAATGTTCTATTTCTCATATCTTGATCCACCACTGCAGTGTTCTATTTCTCAGATCTTGATCCACCACTGCAATGTTCTATTCCTCAGGTCTTGATCCACCACTGCAATGTTCCATTTCTTGGGTCTTGATCCACCACTGCAATGTTCCATTTCTTGGGTCTTGATCCACCACTGCAATTTTCTATTTCTCAGGTCTTGATCCAACACTGTAATGTTCTATTTCTCAGGTCCTGATCCACCACTGTAATGTTCTGTTTCTCAGGTCCTGATTCACTACTGCAATTTTCCATTTCTGGGGTCTTGAACCACCACTGCAATGTTCTATTTCTTGGGTCTTGATCCACCACAGTAATGTTCTATTTCTCAAGTCCTGATTCACTACTGCAATTTTCCATTTCTTGGGTCTTGATCCACCACTGTAATGTTCTGTTTTTCAGGTCTTGATCCACCACTGTAATGTTCTATTTCTCGGGTCCTGATTCACTACTGTAATGTTCTATTTCTCAGGACCTGATTTAACCACTGTGATATTCTATTTCTCAGGTCCTGATTCACTACTGTGATATTCTATTTGTCACGTCCTGATTCATCTCTGCAATATTCTATTTTCCAGGTGATTGCTGGCTTTTGGCTGCTGTTGCCTCCTTGACCATCAACAAAACTTTGTTTGCTCGTGTTGTGCCCTCTGAGCAGAACTTCACAGATGACTACTGTGGACTGTTTCGCTTCAACTTTTGGCACCAGGGAGACTGGGTGGAAGTATGTGTGGATGACAGACTCCCAACCTACTACAACAGGCTGTCTTTCATGCACTCTGCAGAGAATAATGAGTTCTGGAGTGCCCTGTTTGAGAAAGCTTATGCCAAGTAAGGGGGCAATTTACAAATTTGTATCAACCTTGGCATAAATTCCTTCGAGTTATATCATATATTATGAAAGATATGAGCTTCAAAGTCTACGGTTACTCTATATAAACCCCTGATTTTCAGTCTGCATCAGGTTTGATTGTAACATATTTGAAAAACTTTGCTCTAAGAGTTGCATGATTTGCTGACATTTTAAAACCTCTTGTATCATATGGTTACATGTATCCAAATTATCCCTGAAAGGAGACGGTAAATTTGAGTAGACAGGGCTCCTAGAGGTCCCTGGAGGAAGACATTTTATTTGAGTATGACAGGACTCCTAGAAGTCCCTGGAGGAAGACATTTTATTTGAGTATGACAGGGCACCTATAAGTCCTAGAAGAGAGACAGTACATTTGTATTTGACCGTTACAGGTTACAGGGTTCGTATGAATCCTTGAAGGGAGGTAGTACATGTGAGGCCATGGAAGATTTCACAGGTGGTGTCACAGAAATGTTTGATCTGAGGAAACCTGAGGAGAACCTGCTGACTATCATGTTAAAGGCCAGTGCCCGTGGTTCTCTGATGGGGTGTTCTATTGACGTAAGTTTATACAGGTACAACTGTGTGTTAATCAGATGTTTGAACACATTGCTAGCTAAAACATGGTAACATATAAGAAAAGTAGAGATTTCTTCAGTGATGTAACTGAACACTTTTGAAGACAGAATGCTGATAATGATCATGCTCTCCATGATAATTTTCAGATGTTTTTATGACATCACAAATGTTTTTTCTGTAATGTTATTGTATATGTAAACCAAGAGCAACAATTCTGTTGAAAATTTGAGGGTGAACATTAATCAAAGTTTCTAACGAATCGTCAAAACTTTCTGAGATATATTGTTGTCTATACAGAATGTTGGTATATGTTTCTACAGGCTGACCCTAACCAGTTAGAAGCAGTTCTTGACAATGGTCTGGTCATGGGCCATGCCTACAGTATCACCTGTGTCCAGTTGGTAAGTAACAACTGTGGATCCTCACAAAATGGCTGACATGCAGCCATCTTGGATTTGGACAAAGTTAGTCATCACAATTTTTTGAAAATCTTATGATAGATCATTCTTAACTTTCATGTATTTGTATCCCATTGTCTCTAGTAGTGCATTGTTTATCTCAGGACTTATTTGAAAAAACAAATGGCTGACAGGCAGGGACCTAGGTTTTCACACCTCTAGTTTGCTATCATTATTTATTGAGTAGTTTTTGATGAATTGTGACAGGGAATATAGAATGGCCATTAGGTAACAATCATGGTGGTTTTTTCTTTGTACACAAAACAGAAAAGATCATTCCAATTTCATAGGTAGGTTAATTATCCTATGTCCCAAGTTTGCCTGTTTATATTTTGTGACAGATTACAAAGTAAAAGAAGGAAAAAGACTTACCCTCTGATAATGCTCCTCCATTATTGCAATACACCATGAAGCATCAGTTTCATTTTTCCACTGTACCATTTTACTAGAAATATCTTTTCTGATTTGTAGGTTGACATAAAGACACCTCGTACAAGTGGTCGTATCCCCATGGTGAGGGTACGTAACCCATGGGGCAATGAAACAGAATGGAAGGGAGCCTGGAGTGATCAGTAAGATTTCTTAACATAAGAAATATTTCACAGGTTTTATTTTTTATTCATTTTTTAGACACAACATTGAAAAACCAAGTGTTTGGCAAAAAAGTTTTCCAATTCTTAAAGGAAAATTTAGCAGATAAGAGAATCTTGAATTTTACATATTGAATTGGAAAACTTACAAATGGATTGTTTTTTCTTTTCAAATCACCAACATCTTATCAGCTCTTGTATGGTGATTTTCTAAAGAAACTCTATCAATTCCTGGATCAAGTAAATGTTTTTAGTTACAAACAGGAACTTTATATTTGTGTTAATGATGATAGATTTACCCTTTAAATATTCGTTTATTGAAAATTTACTTTTTTTCAGTGAAAAGTTTGGTAAAAGTTGTTAATAATTTTTGCTTGTTACTTATTAGGTCAGAGGAATGGAGATTCATTCCAGAAGATGAAAAGAAAAACCTAGGTCTAACGTTTGATGATGATGGTGAATTTTGGTAAGTCTTTTTTGTTTGTTTTGTTTTTTTTTTAAATGAAAACTTTAATTTCAAAAGCAAGAGTGAAATGGCACTGGAAGAAGAAAGTTTTCTATATTACAAAAAGGCACAAAGTATTGGCAGTTATATAGTATTGTAGTCTTGTGTTGATATAGCAAGAATGAAGATCATCATTTTATTTAGAGGTACAATGGTACAGAAGAAATGCAGGGGACTAAACAATTGTTAGATGTATTCAGGAAATTTATGTTTAGAAAAAAAATACAAACAAATTTAGGTTTCATTACAAACATGAATGCAGAACAAAGGGTGTTTTCTAGTTCAGAAATAGGTTTTTCGAGAATATCTGAAAAGTTTTGTGTTAAATGTTAAGTGTCATAGTCTGTGGTCGATCCATCTCATTTCTTGAGAATAACTGGATGGAACTTTCAGAATTCATATACCAAATCTCCATAGCTCAAGTGGTGCTTAATTTGCCAAATGAAAAAAAAATGAAATGTTTGACTGGTGACCACCTCTTGGAATTTGCAAATTCATCACTTTCTTTCAAAAAGTACATGATGAATTTTTTTCAAATGTATTCAAAGGTTCCCCATGGTTTCCAGTTGTGCATTATTTTTTTTCTTAATTTCATATATAGATTTTCTTTGTTGATTGATATTATCATAGAATTCATTCACGTCTACATCATTTATACTAATAAACATATAATTAGGATAAGATAAGAGGAGAGAAGTGAAAAAATCCATCCTTCTCGAAATCAATAAAGATGACAAAACATTGGATGCCAACATCTTTCTTGTTGATTTTAACATTTTTTGTTCCATTAGAAGTTCATAGTCCTTTAGACCTAGATTTGGTTGAATCAAAATAAAAATGAAAAAGGACCCAAGAAGTTTTGTCTTATTGATGTGTTATGTGACCACTACATCTCACACTCCCATCAGGCCCAAGTAGCTCAAAACTTGGCCGTAGTTAAAAATGGCAATGAAAATTTTCAAATCTGAATTTATCAAAATTGGGAAGTTTTGTTTGAATTTCACAGCTGTAATTGTGTTTATGTGGGCCAGATCAATATTTTGAGTGTCAGTTTTGCTTTAGAAGTCTTTGCTTTGTTTGGTTGGGTTTTTTCAGTGATAGCAATTTGAGTTCTGTGCTAATCACTGGTCAAGTCTAGCTTAAGTGAAACCATTCTTAGAATAACTGAGGTCAGAGGGCTAACAAGGCCCTCAAGAGTCTTGTAAAGTAAATGGAGAGCTACACAAGAGGTCATATTTTTTAAGTGAAAGGATTGATTTAACAAGAAATTATTGCTATTTATAACTGATGTTAGTTAATTAGTTTTGTTGACCATTCTGTAGCTTCATTATATAACTTTTCTCCTGTCAGGATGTCATTCTCTGACTGGAAAACAAATTTCCAGAAGCTTGAGATCTGCAACTTGGGTCCAGACTCTCTGGATGAAGAAGAGATACAGGCTGGTGGCAAACGTTGGGAAGCTACCTGTGAGAGTGGATCCTGGGTCCCAAAGGTCAATGCTGGTGGTTGTAGGAACTATCTCGGTAAGGAATTTTTCTATCTAACAAACAATGAACTTTAGTAGGCATGACATCTTGTCCTGAAATATCTGTAGGCAATGGCTTATCTGCCCTTTACTACTTGTCTATGACATCATCATATAAAACAAACCCCATTTTAAGTACTTCATGGATAGAATCTGATGTATAAGTGTTCTGATAAAGCCTCACATCAGAGGCAAAACAAGTCGGCTCACACGATATGTGGTTTGTGTTTTGTTATTAAAACTTATTTAGATTAGTTTTGATCCTTTGATTTCATCGCACAGCATATCTTTCCCTATCCACTCCATACTTGCAGCGCCCTACTTATTAACCAACAAGCTCAGAACTAACTCTGTTATTTAATGTTGGCTCTGTTTTTGTTGATTAATCATCTGATTTGTTACGTTGATAGTCTGTGTAAACTCACTACTATTGTTAATGAAGGACAGGTGGATTCTATATTTAACACAATCATTTTGTCTGTAGACACCTTTTGGACCAACCCTCAATACAAGGTGACATTGGTGGACCCTGACGATGATGAAGATGACCTGTGTACCATGCTGGTCGGAATCCTGCAGAAAGACAGAAGGAAGAAGAGGAAGGAAGGACTTGATCTGCTCACCATTGGTTATGTTATCTACAAGGTTAATGCTGTTGATTTTGTTGTCAGTCTGTTGTGTTGTGTTTCATTCCCGACAAGATAAATTCTTGATAAACGACATGTTAAATTGATGCTATAGGAATTTTGTATATCACAACTAATAAGAAAATTTGGGGTAGTTTTGGTGACTACACAATCAACTTCATCATCAGACCTGTGAAGCTTAGGTACACAAGACCATTATGAAATTGACAGGTCATTTTGTCTTTACTTTGACAATAAATGAAATATTGTAAATGGCTATAAAATTTATACCAGAAGTAGAATGAGATAATTACTAGTATATCCCTTACATTTCTAAGATTGTAGCCATTTAGAAATCTATATTATATACAATAATTGTTGTAAGGAAGAAATGCAGGTATTTCTTTATGAAAATATGAGTTAAATAAAAGCCATGTCATTCTTACCCTCTACTAATTCATTATCTTTCAACTTTTATAATGTTGATTTTATTTCAAATTTCTCTGCATTCTGTACTTTTTTATCATTAGCCCTAAATTACATAATTGCCTAAGTAATCGTAAGAAACATTTGCCCTGGGTTTTTTTTGCGCTGTTAGAAAACTTGAGATTTTGCCAAATGTTTAATTTGCCAAAACAATACCTGGTATACAATATACCTAGCTTTAATATTAGTCTTCAGCCTTCCATTTATTTTTACCTCGTCAAAAAAAGGCAAAACCTGTGAAAGTTAAGCTGTGTACAGTATCTAAATAGAAGCTAGTTCATTAGAAACCAAATGTACCTAGAAAATTTTTAAGGCTTTTTAGAAAATTTTTATGCCAAATGCCTGTCATTTGAAACAATGGTTTTCAGATTGAAAATTTTATGAGGCAAAAAAAGCCCAGAAATATGCATGAACCTTGACATTCATTTAGAAGCATCAATTAACTTATAAAACAATACTTTTCAATTAGAATTTGCCAGTTCCTTATTTGCCTTTTTAATGTTTTGGTAAAAATTAAGACACTTATAAAAATACATGTAATATAGCATTTCAATAAAAATTCATTTTTCTTGCTTGTATTTTTTGTTTAGCTGAAAGATGGTATGGAGGATTCTGGTCCCCTGGACTTGAAGTTCTTTAAATACAATGCATCCACAGCCAAGTCTCCATCTTTCATCAACATGCGTGAAATCTGTGGTCGTCACAAACTGTCACCAGGAACTTACGTCATCATCCCATCCACTTTTGAACCTCATCAGCAGGGAGAATACCTTGTCAGGATCTTCTCAGAAAAAGCAAACCAAGCTGGGTAATGATGGATTTTGACAAATGTTAAGATGAAAATTTAATTATATTGGTTAATCATCCAAGTGATTAAACTCTCTACAGCTTCGTTACTGACAGGATTTGTGGGTTTGAGGAACACATAACCGTTCTATTAGTTGTTGATTTAAGATTTCACTAATCAATTTTTGTTTGTTTTGATTGGCTGTTAACTTTGTTGTATCTATTGTAGATTTGAATTTTCCAAAATCACATTCATTTGGTTATTGCAAACAAATGAGACAATATCTGGTTATATTATTAAATTTTATATCAGCATGAGGAGATGTTGTTTCCAGTAATGATGAGTAGATTACTCCTACTAAATAGTTGTGCCATTGTCAGTTTGGACTGATCATAAATACAAAACACCCATTAGGCAATCGTCATGATTTAACAGAGATTATTACTGTTTCTTAAAAGGAATTCTGAAATTTCATATAAATAAGAGCAAAACACAGGAAATAAAGAGAAAAGAATGGAAAAGATTCAGCTTTTAAAAAACAAATATTAGGTGCCACGATCCGTGCCATGATCCCTCTGGGATCTGTTGTAAATGTATTCTATTGAACAATTCTGGAACCTGTTTCATTAGTCTTGACAGCAACATTATAGACCTGTTCCATTTGTCTCAGTATAAAATTTCTGAAGTTTCATCCAAGGGCTTGTAAAATCTGAAGTTGACGTCAGTGATATAAACACAGTGATTATCTAGGGTGTAGGTAATTATGATATACCTAAGATAATAGTTGGTGGAGAGCTAATTATTTCCTGTGTTGTTAACAGGGAGATGGATGAGGAGACAGGCATGATTGACGACCAGGTAAGCATTATATTGTGTTGTAGTGTCTGGTGTAGGGACATACAATTGTACCTGTTTAGATGATAGCATCAGTGTAGATTTAGATTCATTTTAACATTCCGTAGTTCTCATTGTTAGAAATTTATTTTTTACCTGACAACAAATTGAACATTTCCACTCTATCAGATGTTATGTTATCATTATGATAGTGTTGATAGTGTCAAAAGTGTTTCTCTTTAGAGACACATGCAATATATTGTAAACACAATTTAGTATTGCTGTGAATCTCTTCTTATGTAATCTAAGATAGTATATACATTTTATCTTACCAATATGAGGCGATACTTTGTAACAATAATTGAGACATTCCCTCACCCTTTTTATTTTGTTTTCATCCAAGTCAGTGTGCATGTTTCATCTACCTGAAAATTATTAGATTTGTCTGGTAGTCGGTGTTAGATGTATTTGTAGACAGAACATAAGTGTGTCGATCACTAGATAGGGCATACCTGGGTCTCAGGTAATAATGGTTATCATTGTAGTAAAAGTAACAGTTACCAAAAAAGAAGAAAGCGATATAAAAAGTAGCATTTTTCACCCCATGACTTTTTTTTTGTAAATAATTCTACATCATGTACGTCTTGTGCAAATTGAATTAACTCCTATCACATATTATTCTGTTTACAATCAATTCTAATTTGTTTGATTTTTAATCTATTGTTAATATTTATTTTCATACAGACGTTTATTTACAAATCTTAAACAGTAATAGACCTACATACATCATTAAAGTGTGTAGTTTGAATTTATATCAGATGTGAATAAATTGCTGTCTATTCTAAAGCTGCCAGTGATGTATCTAATGTCGAGTCCCGGGACAAAGGATGCATACTTTCCTAAATTGTTCCCTTAGATTTGGGAAATTTAACATACCATATATGGAAAGCCTTGTGTTTTGGTGAAATATGTCCTGACATTTCAAAGTGTAGATAAGTCACTAAGCTGTAGTTAAAATAAATTCTAGTATTGACAATCCTTTCACAGTGTTAACAGTGGTCAACTGCATATATTTCAGTTAGCACTTTGTATCATATTTTAGTGCTTTTGGTGCATTAAACATTCCACTAATTGTTGATATCTTGCACAAGTTTGATAACGCACCAATATCTGAGCACACAATATATAGAATATCTTATACAATTTCTTTATCAAACATTTTAGTTCCAGTTGCATGTGTCGTATAAGTAGTTTTATTTTGTATTTGTTTTGTGCGTGTTGTCTGTCGCAGAGCAGTCTCGTTAGTCTAGAACGGTTCCATGTATATTCTACAACAAAAGATGGGCAGGTCATAGTAAGTTGATGAGTGTGACAAAAGCTGTTTCCAAAAGTCTTGCTAGGATTTGCATAATAGCAAGATGAGTGAGCTGGGTTGAATTAGCTTGAACAAAACACAGTAATGCATCTCAGCTGTTTAAATATTTTCCGAACCAGTTTCTATCTTTGCATAATTTTGTTTTACTTCCCAGGATATCCTCTGTGAGATTGCAGACATTTTTTGTGTATCAGATTATCTCAGAAGTATTAACTGCTGATAAAATGTTTTTAATTCCTTGAATTTTGAAGTCGTCAGTGATGTAAGTAATTTATTAATGGTTGATGACACTAGTTATGCGTTGGCTTCAATTTTTCCAACACAGTAACAATAGATGATTATCTGACAGTGACTCTGTCTGGAATATCATACTTCTCACTGAGCTAGTTGTAGAGATGAATTAGTTTGTTAGTGATAGAACTGTAGTAGGGAAAATGCTGTAATATTTAATGATGAAAGATTTCAGCTTGTTATTGATAATCTTAATGATGAAAATGCTGTTATATCTAATGATGAAAGATTTCAGCTTGTTATTGATAATCTTAATGATGAAAATGCTGTAATATTTAATGATGAAAGATTTCAGCTTGTTATTGATAATCTTAATGATGAAAATGCTGTTATATCTAATGATGAAAGATTTCAGCTTGTTATTGATAATCTTAATGATGAAAATGCTGTAATATTTAATGATGAAAGACTTCAGTTTTGATTCAAAATTACATTCATTCAAACATAATAAGAAAAAGTTGTGTATCACTCAAACTCAGTATTTTCATACAAAAATGACAATATTATTGGAAATCTTTGAGATTTTATGAGAAGTTCTGAAATAATTTGAAATGGCATCAGAGTGCGATATCAATTTGGTTAGGATCTATACCAAATGTCATTAGTGATAGAATATTGATATTTTAGAGAAATTATAATAATAATTAACATGAGTCTCGGAGTACAGTAAAAGTTTGTATCTATAGTTGCATGTTATCAAACCACTCCTATGTTTTGATTGATCGATTTATTAATCAATTGATTGATTGATAAGGCTAAATGACTTTGTATCAATAGGTTATAACTGAGCCTAGGACAGAAATGAATTTTTCCAAGCAGTATTTATCAGGATTGTTTTGTAATAGAATATTGAGGATATACACATGTATACACTGTTCTTCTCAAGGTATTATCACAAAACTCTTGGATTTGAAAGATTTGTTAATACGATAAGAAATTCTGTCTTATTGGGTTGCTTATTAGTTGGTGTCGGGATGGGATTCATCACTGCAGTGTGAATCCTGCATTGGTCTAAGGGAGATAACTTAAAACTTTCATTCATCCTGTGCTTCTACTGACACAAGATTCTGCAATGCATTCTGACGTGTTTTTTTTTTTAATGCAGTTTTAATTGTGATAGAGATATTTATCATGTCTACTTACCTATCTTATTCACTTTGATTGTTTCAAATATCGAAGTTGAAATTATTTTTTCTGGAACACTTAAATGATGCTAGAGAATTTTTAATGTATTAATAATTTTTTCTCTTTAAAGTACATTCATATGATGCATAAATTCAGTTATGTTTATTGTATTTGTTATTTCATTTTTTTAATTCTTAAATGAAGAAATTTATTTTTTTGTATGTTTTCCTTTCCTTTGTAATGTAACATTGAGTTTTTATTTTTACTAACTCTTTTTTTTGTGTATGTTGCCTCCTTTGTGTATTTCTTTTTCTGTTCTTTGTGTTTTTAACATGCTTCAATTTATTTATGGAAAATTTGTGTTATAAACGACCCACTAAGGGAAGAAATTTTAGATTTGCTGCCACAGATATAATTTAAAACAATTTTTTATTATGATGTTTATTGAATTTATGAATATATCTGTAAGATGTCTGTCCCGGAGAATGTACCTGCAGTGGCCAGCGGCCCTCCGACAGAGTCAGCAGACCAGGTGCCAGGCGTTAGTAGTTTAAGCCTGCAGACCATAGACGAGTGTCTCTCCCTTACACATACTAGAACATTACTCCTCACCAAATTGAACTGATGAATTTGGTGATGAGCTCCACTCCTTGTTTAACATCACTAAATATATCCTTAGATAAGTTAATTCTGTATTATATTACTTGACATTCTGTTTTTGTACAGCTCCTAATAACTGTTATTCATAAATTGTGTTAATATTTTACTACTAGGAATTACCTGAAGGTGAAGTCAATGCACCAACACCAGTTCCTCCTCTCCCAGAGGTACAGGCAGTGCTATTGTTCTGTTTTATCTCCCTAAGATGTTCCTAACCTTGCCCCTGTTTTAGATTGATATGTTCATCCTCTGTGATCAGCTTAGTTGATCTGCTCTAGCCAGGGCTTTTGTATGAGGCTAAATTCAGCAGTCTTCCCTCCTGATAAAGAGTTACCTGCCCTTGTTCCAGGTGAATGTGTTCATATACTGCAATTCCTCAGTTGATTCACCTTGTTGCTGTTCTGTTCATCCTGAGTTAGCAGTTATCCTCCCTGAAAAAGAGTTGTCTGCCCTTGTTCCAGATCAACGTGTTCATATCCTGCAATTCCTCAGTTGATCCACCTTGTTACTGTTCTATTCATCCTGAGTTAGCGGTTATCCTCCCTGAAAAAGAGTTACCTGCCCTTGTTCCAGATCAACGTGTTCATATCCTGCAGTTCCTCAGTTGATCCACCTTGTTACTGTTCTGTTCATCCTGAGTTAGCAGTTATCCTCCCTGAAAAGAGTTATCTGCCTTTGTTCCAGATCAACGTGTTCATATCCTGCAATTCCTCAGTTGATCTACCTTGTTACTGTTCTATTCATCCTGAGTTAGCGGTTATCCTCCCTGAAAAAGAGTTATCTGCCTTTGTTCCAGATCAACGTGTTCATATCCTGCAATTCCTCTGTTGATCCACCTCGTTACTGTTCTATTCATCCTGAGTTAGCGGTTATCCTCCCTGAAAAAGAGTTGTCTGCCCTTGTTCCAGATCAACGTGTTCATATCCTGCAATTCCTCAGTTGATCCACCTTGTTACTGTTCTATTCATCCTGAGTTAGCGGTTATCCTCCCTGAAAAAGAGTTATCTGCCCTTGTTCCAGATCAACGTGTTCATATCCTGCAATTCCTCTGTTGATCCACCTCGTTACTGTTCTGTTCATCCAGAGTTAGCAGTTATCCTCCCTGAAAAAGAGTTGTCTGCCCTTGTTCCAGATCAGTATTAATTATCCATAAGCTTGGTTTACTTATCCTGTCACAGTATGATTTATCTGTTATCCTGGATGTTTGTTTGACACAAACATCAGCAGTTATCCTCTCAGATGAAGAGTTGTCTTTCCTTGCTACAGTCAGAATTCCGTGCAGAATTAAAACATTTCACCTTGGTTTATAACCAAGCTTTCCCAGCACTGAATGCCACAAATTTGTGAAGACCGGTTTGCTACCCTGACTTAAGTTTTCCAGAAATTCTCTGACAGATTGTTTTAATTCAACCATGTCCAGTTCTCATTTCTTATACCACTTTCCTGACTTACATGAAATATTAATGTAATAAGAAGTCTACCCAGTCGTACATACTTGGGAATATAAACTTAACAGTTCCAGCCTGTTGTGAGCATGATTGTCCCTCATTAATTAGGGTTAATTGGTTTTGTGTGGTGTTATTAATGAGAAAAAAACTGTGATTTCTAAGTATGATGTACTCTTAAGTACAGTAAAGTTACATTAGAATGTTTTGTTTATTTAGATACATTTTACTATAGAGAAGTATATGTTGTGTTATGATGTAAGTTATATATTTAACAGATATATATTTATATTATTTTTTTTATATTATTTTATGCAAGAGAGCTTCTCCCAATATTACAATCACAGTCATGTCCTTTTTGTCTATAAATTGTCTTATTCCCAAAAGATTTCTTCTTATGAATTTTTTTTTGCACAACTCTGTTAGATTTTGTCTGATTTTGTGTTTATGATTTGATTATCACAGAAGACGACGGTGAGAGTAAGTTTAAATGTACTACTGACAATGACTAAACACTCTATGTCAGAGTGCTGTGATTTCTACCTTCCTATTGTCTGTCTCTCATTGACTGTGAGGTTGGCTTGTTCACATGAGGAAGTGCAACGCTTCAGTGACTCATACATCTAATGATATGCTAATGTTTTTGAATATGTATGAATTGATACTTGAATATGCATGACTTGTTATTTGAATGTGTATATCATTAGCAGAATATCAGACTATTGATTAGGTGTCCATCAGGTTAAAGATATCTACTTTACCTGTACGTTATTACATATATCATCATGCATTTGGACTGAAAGTCTTGTAATCAGAAAATGTACTTGTTATTATGATTGAGGTCTGAGATAATTCACTGCTTTATTATTATCAAAATTTTATGCATTAAAATGTATATGCATGAGAAAAGTTGAATATACCTGGTTTGGGCATCTGTACAAATTCATTGAAGGCTTTGGAAAAAAAAGAAAAAAAAAAGAAGGCAAATAAATCACTTTTGAGTTTGAAATTAATCTTATACTTACAAGTGACGGATATCTACCACTACCAAAGTGCACAATGGTCTACATACACAGATACAGGGGAAATCACTGGTCTACATACAGATACAGGGGAAATCACTGGTCTACATACACAGATACAGGGGAAATCACTGGTCTACATACACAGATACAGGGGAAATCACTGGTCTACATACACAGATACAGGGGAAATCACTGGTCTACATACACAGATACAGGGGAAATCACTGGTCTACATACACAGATACAGGGGAAATCACTGGTCTACATACACAGATACAGGGGAAATCAATGGTCTACATACAGATACAGGGGAAATCACTGGTCTACATACAGATACAGGGGAAATCACTGGTCTACATACACAGATACAGGGGAAATCACTGGTCTACATACACAGATACAGGGGAAATCACTGGTCTACATACACAGATACAGGGGAAATCACTGGTCTACATACACAGATACAGGGGAAATCACTGGTCTACATACAGATACAGGGGAAATCACTGGTCTACATACAGATACAGAAATACACATACACAGATACAGGGAAATCACTGGTCTACATACACAGATACAGGGGAAATCACTGGTCTACATACACAGATACAGGGGAAATCACTGGTCTACATACACAGATACAGGGGAAATCACTGGTCTACATACACAGATACAGGGGAAATCACTGGTCTACATACACAGATACAGGGGAAATCACTGGTCTACATACACAGATACAGGGGAAATCACTGGTCTACATACACAGATACAGGGGAAATCACTGGTCTACATACACAGATACAGGGGAAATCACTGGTCTACATACACAGATACAGGGGAAATCACTGGTCTACATACACAGATACAGGGGAAATCACTGGTCTACATACACAGATACAGGGGAAATCACTGGTCTACATACACAGATACAGGGGAAATCACTGGTCTACATACACAGATACAGGGGAAATCACTGGTCTACATACACAGATACAGGGGAAATCACTGGTCTACATACACAGATACAGGGGAAATCACTGGTCTACATACACAGATACAGGGGAAATCACTGGTCTACATACACAGATACAGGGGAAATCACTGGTCTACAAATCACTGGTCTACATACAGATACAGGGGAAATCACTGGTCTACATACACAGATACAGGGGAAATCACTGGTCTACATACACAGATACAGGGGAAATCACTGGTCTACATACACAGATACAGGGGAAATCACTGGTCTACATACATACACAGATACAGGGGAAATCACTGGTCTACATACACAGATACAGGGGAAATCACTGGTCTACATACACAGATACAGGGGAAATCACTGGTCTACATACACAGATACAGGGGAAATCACTGGTCTACATACACAGATACAGATACAGGGAAATCACTGGTCTACATACACAGATACAGGGGAAATCACTGGTCTACATACACAGATACAGGGGAAATCACTGGTCTACATACACAGATACAGGGGAAATCACTGGTCTACATACACAGATACAGGGGAAATCACTGGTCTACATACACAGATACAGGGGAAATCACTGGTCTACATACACAGATACAGGGGAAATCACTGGTCTACATACACAGATACAGGGGAAATCACTGGTCTACATACACAGATACAGGGGAAATCACTGGTCTACATACAGATACAGGGGAAATCACTGGTCTACATACACAGATACAGGGGAAATCACTGGTCTACATACACAGATACAGGGGAAATCACTGGTCTACATACACAGATACAGGGGAAATCACTGGTCTACATACACAGATACAGGGGTCTAAATACAGGGGAAATCACTGGTCTACATACACAGATACAGGGGAAATCACTGGTCTACATACACAGATACAGGGGAAATCACTGACATACAGATACAGGGGAAATCACTGGTCTACATACACAGATACAGGGGAAATCACTGGTCTACATACACAGATACAGGGGAAATCACTGGTCTACATACACAGATACAGGGGAAATCACTGGTCTACATACACAGATACAGGGGAAATCACTGGTCTACATACACAGATACAGGGGAAATCACTGGTCTACATACACAGATACAGGGGAAATCACTGGTCTACATACACAGATACAGGGGAAATCACTGGTCTACATACACAGATACAGGGGAAATCACTGGTCTACATACACAGATACAGGGGAAATCACTGGTCTACATACACAGATACAGGGGAATACACATACACAGATACAGGGGAAATCACACATACACAGATACAGGGGAAATCACTGGTCTACATACACAGATACAGGGGAAATCACTGGTCTACATACACAGATACAGGGGAAATCACTGGTCTACATACACAGATACAGGGGAAATCACTGGTCTACATACACAGATACAGGGGAAATCACTGGTCTACATACACAGATACAGGGGAAATCACTGGTCTACATACACAGATACAGGGGAAATCAATGGTCTACATACACAGATACAGGGGAAATCACTGGTCTACATACACAGATACAGGGGAAATCACTGGTCTACATAGATACAGGGGAAATCAATGGTCTACATACACAGATACAGGGGAAATCACTGGTCTACATACACAGATACAGGGGAAATCACTGGTCTACATACACAGATACAGGGGAAATCACTGGTCTACATACACAGATACAAGGGAAATCACTGGTCTACATACACAGATACAGGGGAAATCACTGGTCTACATACACAGATACAGGGGAAATCACTGGTCTACATACAGATACAGGGGAAATCACTGGTCTACATACACAGATACAGGGGAAATCACACTTTTTATAGGTACAGGCATGAAAATCACATGCATCATACACATTTGCTGAAATGCTGTAATAGAAGATGAAAAACCTGATAAAGAATTTAAATAGATAAACATGCCAGTGATAGATAAAGCATGGTTGCCCCTACATGTCTGGACAAACGGGACTATTTGATAACCTTATTACAATAAAAAAATCAACTGTATCACTTTTGTGAATGGTAATCCTCTCTGTTCTGACTTTGTTGGTTTGGTTTCCAATTAACAAGCATGCAATTTCAAGCTGAGGGTTCGAGAAAGCATCGTGACTTGCAGTTTTAACAGATATAGGTGAATGAGTGCGTAATGTTGTAATGAATTAAACTCCATAAAAACTTTTCTGGATAATTATAATTCCTGTGCATGTTTCATTGATGAAACCATACTTCAGTAATGATAAGAGATTGTATTGAAGTTCATTTTAACATGTAACTTATTGCTTTATAAACTTTTTTTCTAAAAGTAAATTAACAGGAAATCTTAGATGTGAATACAGAAAGAGTTTGAGACTTGTATCAGAAACTTTTAGTCTATCTTTATCTACATATATAAGGGAGTTCAATTACATCTTAGCTGTTAAGAAATATACCTTCAGAGTTTTCCGTAATTATTTTAGAAGAAGGGAATCAAATAATGTGGCCTTATACATCCAGAGTTAACTTTTGTTTGTAATACACATTGTATTTGTCCTAACATTATACATACATTGATGTACATCATTGTAGCATTGTACTCTATAACAACATTGCTTCTCACATTCAAATAATTTTTTCTGACTTTTAATTTATGTTTTAAGGGAGTTCAAAAGTTTCACCATTATCCTCCTTCGTCAAGGTCGGGTCATACTGCGCCACCTAGTGCTAGGCGAAAGGTGCCCACTAGGAACTATGACCATATGTCCCGACGAGAAGCCTTAGAGGTTCTATACAACCTTCTCAAAGTAACAACTTATAAGTGGATATCTATCACATGCTAGTCTTCCTTGCTATATTATATACTTTTCCTGCTGTGTATGGTCTTTACTTCTGGCCTTGACCTCTTGACCTGATAGAAATTAATGGGTAATAGGCTCTTTGTATTATTTTTTTTTGCTTTGACATAAAAAGATCTTACAATATCATGACATTTAATTTGATTTGTTATTTTTCAATTTTGTAGATTTTCTTTTTATTCCAGTTGTTTACACTTTCTTGGAGTACATTGTAGGACCTTTTGATAACGGTTTACATGTTGTTAGATTTATTCCGATCAGTATGTTCTACAACATTTTGCTTATACTCAATGTGGGATAGGGCTGAGCCTAACTCAATGTGTCATAGGGCTGTGCCTAACTCAATGTGTCATAGGGCTGCACCTAACTCAAATGTAACAATCTGCTGATAGTGAGTGATCACTTCTCCACTCAGCTTTCCACCAAATTATTGTCTATTGTCTTGAGTCTCTTGGCCTGATAGAAAGGAGCTAGAACAAAGAGAAAACAGATACGAGTCAATAGAAAGGAGCTAGAATAAAGAGAAAACAGGGACGAGTCCATAGAAGGGAGTTAGATGTAGAACAAACAATGGAAAAGAGCCAGAACAAAGGGAGATAAACTGAAAAGAGTCAATGAAAGGGAGCTAGAACAAAGAGAGTTCAGACATGAGTCAACAAGATGGGAGTTCAAAGAAAGGTCAAACACAGAGACAAGTCAATAGAAGGGAGTTAGAAAAAGGAAAGAACAGGCATGAGTCAAAAGAAGGGAGCTATATGTGTAACAGTCAATAGAAAGGAGCTAGAAGAAAGGGAGATAAACAGAGATTGGTCAATAGAAGGGAGCTATACGTGTAACAGTCAATAGAAAGGAGCTAGAAAAAAGGGAGATAATCAGAGATTGGTCAATAGAAGGGAGCTATACGTGTAACAGTCAATAGAAAGGAGCTAGAAAAAAGGGAGATAATCAGAGATTGGTCAATAGAAGGGAGCTATATGTGTAACAGTCAATAGAATGAAGCTAGAAGAAAGGGAGATAAACAGAGATTGGTCAATAGAAGGGAGCTATACGTGTAACAGTCAATAGAAAGGAGCTAGAAAAAAGGGAGATAATCAGAGATTGGTCAATAGAAGGGAGCTATATGTGTAATAGTCAATAGAAAGGAGCTAGAACAATGAAATAAAAGAGAGATGGGCCAATTAGAAGGGAGCCATATCAAAGAGAGAAAATAGAGTAGACCCAGCTAGTAAAACTGTATTGGGAGAGTGCCTATTTATAACATAGAACAGTCATAGCAGAGTCAGCTTTTTGTTGAATTGGACAAATATTTTGAGAATTTTGTTCTAAATAGTATTTAAGGATAAATGTAACATTTTGGTTTCCTGTTGAAAACTAGGGTCTTCTGGGCAAAAAAAAAATAATTCAGAAAGCAACATTTGGGGTAAGCAGTGTAAGTCAACACAGCTGGAGAAACATGTTGGATAAGTCCCTTAAAATATTCATCCTACATTTGTATGTAATACTACACCCTCTACAGAAGCAGGACAGCCATGAGCATCACTTCCAGTATAAAACAGAGATCAGGTTGCAGTCACTAAGCACCAGACATCTATTGTATTGTCACTTTCCATTGTTGACTGCTGTTCTCCTCTTACCCTTCACTGCCAGTCATACTGCATCCGCCCTCATATATACCACAATAAACAAAAACAGGATTCTAAATTATGTTTGTATCTATTTATAGATCTGGCTTATACTCTTTAATACAACCGGAGCAATAATTTCCTAGAAATACTCCTTAGTCACAGGAACTATTTTGTGAATTTTGTAGGGACTTCAATCTTTAGTGTTTGCCTATTGGAAGTCCAAAGGGTAGAGATAACAGATAACATCAATTTCTTACACAGCTCAGAATATTTTAGAATTTGATTCTGTTTGTAAAAATGGTAATTAAAGCTATATTTCTACTTAAGTATCAAAAGGTAGGCATCATGTGCTGGATAGAAATAAATGTTTGACATCGTGAATCCATATATACAGGATTAAAAAATAAAAAAATTAAAAAGGTAAAATTTCTCAAGATAAGTACTTTTTTTTTTTTTTTAAATTTGGATGTAGAAAGATAGTAATATTGTCCTAACAACTAATGGATTGGAATCAGAAATGTTGATTTGAAGTGTTTGGTGTTGTGAAAACATGTATTGTAGTGTAGTTCATGTATTTAATAAGAAATTGTACCCATCAAAATGTTGAGTACAAATACTTAGAATTACATTGAATGTTCTGTTTAATTGTCATGACACAGAAAAAATTGAAATAGAAGCTAGAAGCATGTCTGTATGCTTGAGATTTCAACAAGAAATCTTATTATTTTTTTTTGTTTAGATAATATATGCATGCTCTAAGTAATGCAGTTATGCATGACGTTTTGTTCTATAAAGTATGATTTTTGACTGAAAAGTTACATGGGAAATTGATCGTTTTAACTGGTTGAAATGTTTATTTGATAAATTCATGTAACATTTATAATTATTTTTATTTCAAATTTTGTTTTGTTTCTTGCATTCATTGAAGTATTTTGATAAATCTGTAGTTTTCAGAAATAATCAGTTTGTAATTTATTATAGTCAGATTTTTAAACCATGTATTTAGATGAAGTCATTGTAATTTTGAAATTGAAGTTGATTGTTAAATTTTGCTTTACTTTAATTTTTTATGTATAAGTGTCAGACAATACTGCTGTTCATGAGTTGCCTTCAGTTCGATGTGCATGTTATCCTATCTACAACACAATCCTATATACAACACAGTTCAATTCTAACTACAACACAGTTCAATCCTATCTACAACACAGACAGTAGGACATGTTATAGGTTAGATTTTGTATCGTGTATTTTGAGTTAATGAAATGTTTTGTTATATTGATTCAGTGGCTGGATTTTGATACATATAATGCATTTCTCTAGTGTGAACATGACACTATATCATTGTTTGCTTTTGTTTAACTTTGTAAAGTCATATTCTTTATTCACATCAGTTTTATTTCAGAAACCAGAAGATGAGTTATCACCTACAATTTTCATTGACCAAAAGCCTGATTTTCAGTTGGCTTTATTCTAAGTCTATAGTCCATCACAAGCTTAACAATGTTACAAAAATAGAAACAGAAGATGTTGAATTCAATATAACAGTGTTGGTAAGAGTGAGAAAAAAAACAAGGAAGTGCCACGCCAGGAATTAGTAAAGATAAAAAACTGAAATAGGGTGTTTTATTGACAGATTGTAGCTCTGGAAATTTATTCAAACCTAGACAATAAAAAAAAATGTTGACAAATTCAAAACTGGGAAATTGAGAAAATGTAGAAAACCTGAGTTTTTAATTTGATGCTAGGTAGGAGCCATATTGTTTTGTTAGTATAGATAGTGATCATTGATGTCAGACAGACTGGGCCCATTACTAACACACTAGTTCACCTCTCACCCCTGTTTGATTGTGTCCATCAGGAGGAGCCAGAGCCCACGGATGAAGAACAGGAACAGGAAGCAGCACTGAAGGGTAGTTTCCGCCGTGTTGCTGGAGAGGACATGGAAGTGGATGCTTATGAATTACAGGGCATCCTGAATGCTGTGTTTACCAAAGGTAGGCTTCCCTGCTGTATGGTCAGGTGACTCTAGGGTCAACTTTCCGTCAGTCTTCCTTCATATTTTTAACTGTATGGTCAGGTGACTCTAGGGTCAATATTCCGTCAGTCTTCGTTCATATTTTTAACTGTATGGTCAGGTGACTCTAGGGTCAATATTCCGTCCGTCTTCCTTCATATTTGTAACTGTATGGTCAGGTAACTCTAGGGTCAATATTCTGTCAGTCTTCCTTCATATTTTTAACTGTATGGTCAGGTGACTCTAGGGTCAATATTCCCTTTATTTTAATTTTTTTAACTGTATGGTCAAGTGACTCTAGGGTCAATATTCCCTCTTTGTTAATATTTTTACCTGTGATTAATGGCGTTTCCCTTGATGATATACCAGCACTCATTGTCGTTGTAATTTATTTTGTGTTGTCGTATTTTCTGTTTCACCTTTAATTTTACATTGTGTTATGATTATTTCATTTCTTTTGAACTTATATACATTAAATATAACAACGGATGTTTATGATTTTTTTACTAATAACCGATAAGTTTTTTTAAGTTCAGTATTTCTACTTTTTGTTTTGTTTCTTTTTGGTCCGATGTTGTTTTAATGATTTTGTAAATAGGTAATTTATTATTTGATTTCATTTCATTGTATTTAGCTTCAAATGTTGAAAGTAAGTTAGTCTGTCTGAATTGAGTAGCACATTTGAAAATAAAGTTTTTGCCTTAATTGTGAATAATCTGTTTGCTGTTGCATTTTAAACTGCTTTTGACTCTTTCCTGTTTTGAAAATCACCTCATGATGGATTGACATGTACAGTATGCAGCCTATGAAAATGTTTATACTACAAGCAACAAAGATAGGGGTAATTGGCTCAAATCAGGAAGGTTGTACACCTGTCCATCTTCCTGTCAGTCTTAAACTCGTCATGCTATCATTTTTTTTCATGCTTTTTTCCCCCTGATTTTGTCCCTCATAAGAACTGTACTAATACCCTGTATCTAGGAAATTTGGTGCACACATATGATAATTTTTAATCAATTTCCATTTTGTTGATTTTCTTTGGAGTTATGCCCCTTGAATGGGCTTTTTGTCCACGGAAATGCCAAAAGGTCCTAATAGAGGACATAAAACCTGTAAATAAATAAATGAAAAAAGGGATTAGCTTTACTCAGAGTTTTTCATCACTAGAATTTTTAATATCAAGAATTCACTGTTTTTTGCTTAAATGTCAGCAGCCATGTCATCTGCACTAGCCAAGGGATCAGTACATCGAATTAGCCTTTACAAGATAAATCCTTTACTAATTAAGATATATTCATGGTGACCCAATCTTAAATATTGCCATTCTAAAGCTTTACAACCTAATACCTTTCTACTTAGCTTCTTATTTAAGTATAGTGATCATATACTCCAGTACACTTTTTTTTGAGTCATTTTGAATCACTGCAAACATTGCTGTCACTCTAACATTCATGGTTCCTTTTAAATGATGGTGACTGTGTTTGTGTACTTCAAAGAAATTTCCCTTTTTCAATAATTTTCTGTGTGAGTGTTTTTTCACCATATTGCTTACAACGATTAATGTGGTGTGTTAGTCAACTTCGGCAGTACATGTACACAACTTATACTGATTTTAAAAAAGAATATGAATTGTTTTCCATTTTGAATAGATAAATTTCTGTAATATTTCTTAGCTAGATTAATGGTGTTATTGGTGGCTCATATTCAACTCTTTACTTGTCAAACCTGGACACAAATAGATATCAAAGTCATATCAAAATTAAGAAGTGAAGCCATACAAAGGATCTACTTCATGTTTTGTTCAGTTCAAGCTAGTATGTCTACTTTGTCCTAACCAACAGTCTGAACGAGATAATTGATTTTAATATATCTGTAGTAGGATTGGCTCCATATAGTTTGTGTAAGTACCTGTTGATTGTACTTGTGCTGCCCTCTGCGATGTGTTACCTGTTACAGGTGTGTGATATACTTTTGTAGCCTAATGAAAGTGTGCCTTAATCTATTCTCTTGACATTTTTTCTCTAAGCGGGTCAATTTGGTAAGACAGAGAAATGTATCATCATATACTGTCTCATTGTATCACAAGTCATCACAAATCATGCCAGCACTAACCTTTAACCTGGCTTAGTCATTGCTGGACCAATGTCAGCCTCAAGGTCTCAGCCTGGGGTTGTGACCTCATTGATATTCAAATCATGAGGTCACAACCTCTTGACGGAGCTGCAGCTGTATGCTGGTGATGGATTGACCTCTGTTTTTGAGGTTGATAACCTCATTATACAGGGATGTCAGAAAGGTGTATCCATGTATTAAGTACACATGTACTCACTATTATTAACACTTTGCACCTGTATTATGTACCTGTTTACCTTACAGATCCAAGTATGTATACCTTGGTGTTGTATTATCACGCTGGTATTGTATGGCAGTGCACCTGTTGGTAAAACAGGGATGTACAAATATCAATATATCCTTGTTACATTTTGTTTATTTGGTAGCTTTATTTGCTAGCTTTTGTTTTAAAACCTTCGGAATTCTGGCATTAACTTATAGCTGAGATGGGTGATGGAGTATTGGGTGAAAATCTGTTAGAGTGTTTCTAGAGACATCATAACCAAACCTCAAAATTATCAATATATATCAATTACTAAAGGAATATATCTTTATAATTACTAACATGATAAACATAAAATCAGAATCAGATCTTAGAATATATTGCCAAGACTTCAGAATTTATCCTAGATTTAGATAATTTATATACATTTAAAAACACATTGGTAGTGCATTATGTAACACATATTGAACGTTGATGAGTCAGAGGTGTATTTCTTCACAGTAAATGTATATACATCAAACAGATTCTAATAACATGATTTCATTCTAATTTTTATTCATTTCATGTAGAATGATATGGTTTAATGAAGAGCCTGAATTCAAGCAGTAATTTCATTTGAAGATTAAGTTATTGAAAGTACCTGTCATCATCTGTTTTCACTCTTTGGACAGACCCAGTTTTCCAGGGATTTTTTCTTCTATCATTTCAGACCATTCATTATACACGCAGTTTTTAAATTTTCACATTTCCCCCTCCAATCAGTAGTATTTGATATACTAGTACTATCCTTACACCTTAACAATTTTACAGAAACTTCTAGAGTTGCTTCCCCTCACTTGGTGTTGTCCTAGACTGCAAACAAAAACATATAAAAATGTTTCAAAAGATTTTAAACGATTTTTTAAGGACTCCTATATAGATGTACATGTATAAAAAGGAGAGGTTTAGAGACTCCTATATAGATGTACATGTGTAAGAAGGAGATATTTAGAGACATATATAGATGTACATGTGTAAGAAGGAGAGATTTAGAGACTCCTATATAAATGTACACATGTAAAAAGGAGAGGTTTAGAGACTCCTATATAGATGTACATGTGTAAGAAGGAGAGATTTAGAGACATATATAGATGTACATGTGTAAGAAGGAGAGATATAGACACTCCTATATAGATGTATAAAAAGATGTATAGATGTACATGTGTATATATAGATGTACATGTGTAAGAAGGAGAGATATAGACACTCCTATATAGATGTACATGTGTAAGAAGGAGAGATTTAGAGACTCCTATATAGATGTACATGTATAAGAAGGAGATATTTTAAGACTCCCATACACATGTTTTAGGTAAATGGTCTGATACATAAGATTTTCCAATAAAAAATTAATATGATGTTTGAATTGCATGTTGGTTAGCAGATAGATGGCTTTCAATGCATGTAGCCAGCTTATCCTCAATCCTTAGCCCAGACAAGTGGTCATGTATTATTAATCTTTTCAAAATCTTGACATTAATTGTATGAATTTAAGATAGTGATAATACCATATAGAAGTATTATTTATCAGCTGAAGTGATTTACAGCTAATTGTATATTTGATGATTGTGACCATTTTTACGATGTACTCTCTGGTATTTGTATAAAATAGGAAAATATTTTGTAAAGTTGATTATGAATTGGAGTGAATATAGAGTGAAGCATGCTTTATGGAATTAATGTTGAAATACAACAGTGTGTTTCTTTTTTCACAGCACTTTGACATATGTCAGCAATTTTAATTAAGGAAAGCACATTGTGTGTTGGGATGGGGAGGGGCCTGAATGGGGAACAAACTTAGGCTTCTGATATTGAACAGTAAAAACATTAACAGATATAGTTTTACACGACTAGTTGGTTGATGAACAGCAAAGTAAAGCATCAATTTGAAATTGTATTTGGATTTTATCAGATTAAAGATGAAGGAGGCAATACACAAAAGGAAATAAAAACATTTTCATGAAAGGATTTACAGATTTTAGGTGATATTTATTACATGTACTAATGGTATTTTGTACTAGGAACTGTCAGATACACTTTGTACAAGGAACCGTTAGATACACTTTGTACTGGGAACTGTCAGATACACTTTGTACTACAAACTGTCAGATACACTTTGTACTAGGAACTATCAGATACACTCTGTACTAGGAACTGTCAGATACACTTTGTACTAGGAACTGTCAGATACACTTTGTACTAGGAACTGTCAGATGCACTTTGTACTAGGAACTATCAGATACACTCTGTACTAGGAACTGTCAGATACACTTTGTACTGTCAGATACACTTTGTACTAGGAACTGTCAGATACACTTTGTACTGTCAGATACACTCTGTAGTAGGAACTGTCAGATACACTTTGTACTAGGAACTATCAGATACACTCTGTACTAGGAACTGTCAGATACACTTTGTACTAGGAACTGTCAGATACACTTTGTACTAGGAACTGTCAGATGCACTTTGTACTAGGAACTATCAGATACACTCTGTACTAGGAACTGTCAGATACACTTTGTACTGTCAGATACACTTTGTACTAGGAACTGTCAGATACACTTTGTACTGTCAGATACACTCTGTAGTAGGAACTGTCAGATACACTTTGTACTAGGAACTGTCAGATACACTTTGTACTGTCAGATACACTCTGTAGTAGGAACTGTCAGATACACTTTGTACTAGGAACTGTCAGATACACTTTGTACAAGGAAATATGAGATACACTTTGTACTAGGAACTGTCACATACACTTTGTTCTATGAACTGTCAGATACACTTTGTACTAGGAACTGTTAGATACACTTTGTACTAGGAACTGTTAGATACACTTTGTTCCAGGAACTGTCAGATACACTTTGTACTAGGAACGGTCAGATACACTTTGTACTAGGAACTGTTAGATACACTTTGTTCCAGGAGCTGTCAGATACCCTTTGTACTAGGAACTGTCAGATACACTTTGTACTAGGAACTGTCAGATACACTTTGTACTAGGAACTATGAGATACACATTGTACTAGGAACTGTCAGATACACTTTGTGCTAGGAACTGTCAGATACACTTTGTACTGTCAGATACACTCTGTAGTAGGAACTGTCAGATACACTTTGTACTAGGAACTGTCAGATACACTTTGTACTAGGAACTGTCAGATACACTTTGTACTAGGAACTGTCAGATACACTTTGTACTGTCAGATACACTCTGTAGTAGGAACTGTCAGATACACTTTGTACTAGGAACTGTCAGATACACTTTGTACTAGGAACTGTCAGATACACTTTGTACTAGGAACTGTCAGATACACTTTGTACTAGGAACTGTCAGATACACTTTGTACTAGGAACTGTCAGATACACTCTGTCTAATATTATGAAAGTCATGAACTGTAATCCAGTTGTTTTCTATCAGTGAAGAAATTTCTCCCTATAATTGCCACGAGTAAAGCTGTTTTGTCTTAAAGTATTATACAAAGACTTGATTGTGTTTGTCCTACAGTATTATACAAAGACTTGATTGTGTTTGTTGTACTATCATATTAACAGATATTTAATCATTTCTATATTATTTTTTTCAGATTTCAAGTTCTCTGGATTCAGTGTAGACTGTTGTCGCAGTATGGTGGCCATGCATGATGTATCCTTTATAACAAGCTAGGAGCTATCGCTGACAGTAACTAGTGGTGTCCATGTGGTTTGTAGTACAAGGAAATGGTATGATAAATAAAGACCATTATCTAGATACATCTATATATACTTGTGTACAGTACAATCAAGGTACATTTACTTGTGTACAGTACAATCAAGGTACATTTACTTGTGTACAGTACAATCAAGGTACATTTACTTGTGTACAGTACAATCAAGGTACATTTACTTGTGTACAGTACAATCTAGGTACATGTACTTGTGTACAGTACTATCTAGGTACATTTACTTGTGTACAGTACAATCTAGGTACATGTACTTGTGTACAGTACTATCTAGGTACATTTACTTGTGTACAGCACAATCAAGGTACATGTACTTGTGTACAGTACTATCTAGGTACATTTACTTGGTGTATATTACAATCTAGGTACATAAACTTATGTACAGTACAAACTAGGTACATACACTTATGTACAGTACAAACTAGGTACATATACTTATGTACAGTACAATCTGGTCACACTATCATTTTCTGTTTTGATGTTCCTATGTTGTACACAATTGATCTTTATAAGAACATTTCGAAGATATTCGAGAAGCATTGACCTTAACTGACACCAGGGTGACCTTTCTGGCAAACTTGGATTTGACGAGTTTAAGGACTTGTGGAATGACTTGAGGAAATGGAAGGTAAGAATTGCCAGGGAGAAGTGATGACATAGAAGTGTTATTGTACATAGTGATGTTGTTCTCTCACTTTTACAGAATTCAATGATGTTACTTTATTGTCACTTGAATCGATTAACAAGATAATGGCATTTAGTTTTTAATGAAAACATCAATCTGGGCGCAATATTCTGATACTTTTTTGACTATGAATTCTCCTTCAAAACAATAAATGCCAAAGTGTACAGTTGTTTGATTATGTAGCAAAATTTTATGTAATCACCTGATTGAGTAGGAACCTACATTAAATATAAGATTTGACCTTTCAGGCAGTGTTCAAGGACAGAGATACAGACAGAAGTGGATACTTGAGTTCCTATGAACTGAGACAGGCCCTGAACCAGAGTGGTAAGCTGTCCATGTCTGTTAACAAGTCCTAATGTGGAAATATATTGGTCCTGTTGTGAAAGAATGTCAGGTCTTAGAATGTGTATAGACCCTAGTGTGGAAGTCTTTGAGTACAGCTCTCACTGTGTGTATAGACCCTAGTGTAGAGGTCTACTGCTGTCACAGTGTGTATAGACCCTAGTGTGGAAGTCTTTGACTACTGCTCTCACTGTGTGTATAGACCCTAGTGTGGAGGTCTACTGTTCTCACAGTGTGTATAGACCCTAGTATGGAAGTCTTTGACTACTGTTCTCACAGTGTGTATAGACCCTTGTGTGGAAGTCTTTGACTTCTGCTCTCACAGTGTGTATAGACCCTAGTGTGGAAGTCTTTGACTACTGCTCTCACTGTGTGTATAGACCCTAGTGTGGAGGTCTACTGTTCTCACAGTGTGTATAGACCCTAGTGTGGAAGTCTTTGACTACTGCTCTCACTGTGTGTATAGACCCTAGTGTGGAGGTCTACTGTTCTCACAGTGTGTATAGACCCTAGTGTGTAAGTCTACTGCACTCACAGTGTGTATAGACCCTAGTGTGGAAGTCTTTTAGTACTGTTCTCACAGTGTGTATAGACCCTAGTGTGGAAGTCTTTGAGTACAGCTCTCACTGTGTGTATAGACCCTAGTGTGGAGGTCTACTGCTCTCACAGTGTGTATAGACCCTAGTGTGGAGGTCTTTTAGTACTGCTCTCACAGTGTGTATAGACCCTAGTGTGGAGGTCTACTGCTCTCACAGTGTGTATAGACCCTAGTGTGGAAGTCTATTCCTCTCACAGTGTGTATAGACCCTAGTGTGGAGGTCTACTGCACTCACAGTGTGTATAGACCCTAGTGTGGAGGTCTACTGCTCTCACTGTGTGTATAGACCTTAGTGTGGAAGTCTTTGAGTAATGCACTCACAGTGTGTATAGACCCTAGTGTGGAGGTCTACTGCTCTCACAGTATGTATAGACCCTAGTGTGGAGGTCTACTGCTCTCAGAGTGTGTATAGACCCTAGTGTGTAAGACTTGAGTACTGCTCTCACTGTGTATAGACCCTAGTGTGGAGGTCTACTGCACTCACAGTGTGTATAGACCCTAGTGTGGAGGTCTACTGCTCTCAGAGTGTGTATAGACCCTAGTGTATGGAAGTCTACTGCACTAACAGAGTGTATAGACCCTAGTGTGAAAGTCTTTGAGTACTGCTCTCACTGTGTATAGACCCTAGTGTGGAGGTCTACTGTTCTCACAGTGTGTATAGACCCTAGTGTGGAGGTCTACTGTTCTCACAGTGTGTATAGACCCTAGTTTGGAGGTCTTTGAGTACTGCTCTCACAGTGTGTATAGACCCTAGTGTGGAAGTCTTTGAGAACTCACAGTGTGTATAGACCCTAGTGTGGAAGTCTACTGCTCTCACAGTGTGTATAGACCCTAGTGTGGAAGTCTACTGCTCTCACAGTGTGTATAGACCCTAGTGTGAAGGTCTTTGAGTACCGCTCTCACAGTGTGTATAGACCCTAGTGTGGAGGTCTTTGAGAACTGCTCTCACAGTGTGTATAGACCCTAGTGTGGAGGTCTTTGAGAACTGCTCTCACAGTGTGTATAGACCCTAGTGTGGAGGTCTTTGAGAACTGTTCTCACAGTGTGTATAGAACCTTGTGTGAAAGTCTTTGACTACTGCTCTAACAGTGTGTATAGACCCTTGTGTGGAAGTCTTTGACTACTGCTCTCACAGTGTGTATAGACCCTTGTGTGGAAGTCTTTGACTACTGCTCTCACAGTGTGTATAGACCCTTGTGTGGAGGTCTTTGAGAACTGCTCTCACAGTGTGTATAGACCCTTGTGTGGAAGTCTTTGACTACTGCTCTCACAGTGTGTATAGACCCTTGTGTGGAAGTCTTTGACTACTGCTCTCACAGTGTGTATAGACCCTTGTGTGGAAGTCTTTGAGAACTGCTCTCACAGTGTGTATAGACCCTTGTGTGGAGGTCTTTGACTACTGCTCTCACAGTGTGTATAGACCCTTGTGTGGAAGTCTTTGACTACTGCTCTCACAGTGTTTATGGACCCTTGTGTGGAAGTCTTTGAGAACTGCTCTCACAGTGTGTATAGACCCTAGTGTGAATATGTATAAGCCCTACTCTCACAGTTCATACACTCTAGTATGAAAGTCTATAGACCCTACTTTGGAAATTTTCAGGTTTTGTTGTCTCCTTGTGTATAGCTTATGCTGTGGAAGTCTGTAGACTGAGTTGCTTTATAAGTGTTAAAAGCCAGATGATTAAAGTTGATAGAAGCATATAAGCTCACCTGCCTAAGTAACCCTAGCCTATGAAAGCCCTGCTGTCCTGCCATGTTTAAATTCTATCATCTTAGGGGCACTCTCTTCCCCATAACCCCCCACCCCACCCCCAGACTGTGATGAAGACATAACAGCATTTGACCCACCTTTTGTAATGTATTTTCAGGTTTCCGACTCAGCAACAAGTCACTGAATGCAATGGTTATGCGGTACTCAAACAAAGAGGGCCAGATTGAGTTTGGGGACTTTATTGTAGCAGCTATTCGTCTCAAGACCATGCTTTGTAAGTATCTATGTTACGAGATGGCGAACGGCTTGTGAGGTTGTCGAAATCTTGCAGTATTGTATGATATCAGTAATCATTTTTTTTCTGATGATAGCTATATCCATGGAACCCTGACTTCATATATGATTTGCATTATAAAGTTTTCTGTAATTATTGTATAATCAGATGTTGGTTTGACACAAACTGTATCAGTCCTAATCTTGGTTGTAGCTACCTTCAAGGCGAGAACCCAGGGCAACATGGCTGTCTTTGATATTGATGATGTAAGTACAGATATAGGAACATAAGAATTATCAGTTACTTTATCATTTTATTTGACAAAATTAATCTATTTTACTACTGATTTGTTAAGTTGATGTCAATACTTTTTAATATGCAATAAATAAAGATTTATTAATCTAAGTACTGCATGAAAAATTAATGGGTTTTTTTGGTTAAAAACTCTGACTTATTCTGCTGTAGGTTATTACAATATATTCTTCTCCAAACTACATTTGAATCTCATCCTTTATACATGATTTACCTTTTATTGTGAGATCAACTAGAAGGCCTGTAAATTCAGAACACTTAACAATCACTTCGTTTTACAGTTCGTCCAGACCACCATGTATGCCTAAAGCCAACATTTTTAACTTGCCAAGGGAGATTACTCTGAAGAAAAGTGGGATGTATTGTCTCATTTCTGACAAATGAAAATAAGAAAGAGAGAAAGACTGTTGGCAACTATAGCCTGTTTATATGTTTAGCATGTAGTGAAGAACTGTATACAAAGTCTATATCTGTTACAGATATTGATGGATGCTTTCTGTGTTAACTTCTTGGTCGTATCTATGTTTTGGACAGTATGTAAAACTTATCCAGGTTAAGTGATGCTTACCAGCTATAAAGAAGATGTTAATTATAAAAGGTATTAACAATCAGATCAAGTTTCTCTGTAATCAGAGAATGATGATTGAAATATCCACCACAACAGGATGTTTGTTGATGAGTGTAATTAATGGTAAACATCCTAGGGGAAAAAACATTTTGTGCTTGCTTAAAAGTCATTTTGTTATCTATTTTTACTGATGTTCATAATTGAGATAATATGCATCTGATTTTGAGGATCATGTTTCTGTATGCAACACAATATACACAAGCTTCAAGTGTCACCTTGTCATACCAGGCTGTACAGGGGAAAGAAAAGATCTCTGTAACATGGAAGTTTTTCTGTAACATGGAGGTTTTCTGTAACGTGGAGGTTTCTGTAACGTGGAGGTTTCTGTAACATGGAGAAGGTTTCTTTTTTAGGTACAGTCGATTGTGATTCCGGCTCTACCTCTATGTTTTACATAGTATCCCATTTAAATATGTAGGAATCTCTCTTTTACCTTTCTAAGGTAGACAACTCAGAAAGAATACTTTGTCATGATATCACTAACATAAACACAAGTACATTATTCAGCTTTACTATTTATCTCTCATGTTTTACACACTGCTGATACACGTGATATGATGTAACAAATTTCTTTTGCTCAGTTTTTTAGTGCTCCGTTATTTAAACATTACCCTAAAGTTCAGTTGTCATTTTTAGTATGATGACCTATTATTTCCTCTGAGATTTAAAGTCTCTACCGTAACTTAATATCTAATATTTTTGTATGACTTCCTTTGTATGACTGATATTATTGATGTAACAAATCAATGGTAGATGCAATCGTTGAATGACATGCAATAGACTGTTTTGAAACGGGTATGGAATTTGTGTGCCTATAAGGTCGGTTAATTGTCTCTACTTTAGGGAAAGTCTTTCTATGAAATGGCAGTGTAAAATGATTTACTGCCACATACTGTGCCTGATCTTGATTTTCTGGGTGATTAGTCTTTCTTGTTTGTTAAATAGCTGCTATTGAGATATTTTATACCTATCATATTCATGATTATGTAAGCTTCCAATAAATAAACACTTTAAATAATCAATTTCTTTATATTTTTACAGTATATTGTCAATTTGGTGTCAAGTTTTTCTTGTTCTTTAACATAATTTTGATGTCTGTCGTTAGAAATACCATAAAATCACTTTGATATCTTTAGTTGTAAACTCAATCAAAAGATTTCTGTAGTATCCAGCATGGTTCTGACATCAGGATATGATGCTTTCAAAGGCAACAAAACATGAATAATGTCTGTGTTAGCTTTTTATTGCTTTAGGTGTGAAAAGCTACGGTCAAGGATTTTTGCTTATAATTTTACATGATATATTGTCTAACACCATATTGTGTGTTGGTTTTTCACACCTGTTTTTTTACAAGTTATATCTAGTAAGGTTGTTATGAATTAATTTTAGATAGGTCAGAAGGATGGAGAGATATGACCAAATTATGAGTGTGACTTGCTATATATACTATTATTGGATAGTTAATTGTTATAAAGACATAGACTTAATTTTAAGTATTGAATATTTGATATTTTGAATTTAACCCAGATTCTATGGAGCTTTTTTTGTCATAAATGTCAAGAAATGGCAAATTTCTGTAAATTAAAAATTTAGGAGTCATGGATTGATATCTCAGAAAGTCAAAATAGCTTCTACATTTTACTGTAGATGAGGCATGGTTAAAATACCACAACAACAGATGTTCTGCTGCAATGTATAAATATATAAATAAATAGCTTCAATCTGTCTATAATGGTACCATCTAAATACAGTTTTTTTTTGTATCAGTATTGTGATATATCGACATGTAATATGTTTTTCTGTATAATTATTTAACACAAAAAGCTGTAGATATATTGACCTACATCGGTGAGGGTGTCATATTAACAATAATAACTTATAACACTATCAATATATATGGTAGCCCCCTTTTTAAAATTATAGTGACATGAATATTTACATTATACATGCTAAACCTATATATTTACCTTTAGATGTTTATTTACATGACTTAGTAATTTTTGTTTCCCCAGTTATTTACATACTTATGTGTATATTCTACATATTTGACCTCATACTCACTTTTGTCCAGTGCCTTCATTTACCCCAGGTGTCCACTCTGGGCTGTAGAGCCTTGGTGTCCACTCTGGGTTGTAGAACCTAGGTGTCCACTTTGGGCTGTAGAGCCTAGGTGTCCACTCTGGGCTGTAGAACCTAGGTGTCCACTCTGGGCTGTAGAGCCTAGGTGTCCACTCTGGGCTGTAGAGCCTTGGTGTCCACTCTGGGCTGTAGAGCCTTGGTGTCCACTCTGGGCTGTAGAGCCTAGGTGTCCACTCTGGGCTGTAGAACCTAGGTGTCCACTCTGGGTTGTAGAACCTAGGTGTCCACTTTGGGCTGTAGAGCCTAGGTGTCCACTCTGGGCTGTAGAACCTAGGTGTCCACTCTGAGCTGTAGAGTCTTGGTGTCCACTGTGGGCTGAAGAACCTAGGTGTCCACTCTGGGCTGTAGAGCCTTGGTGTCCACTCTGGGCTGTAGAACCTAGGTGTCCACTCTGGGCTGTAGAGCCTAGGTGTCCACTCTGGGCTGTAGAGCCTAGGTCTCCACTCTGGGCTGTAGAGCCTTGGTGTCCACTCTGGGCTGTAGAACCTAGGTGTCCACTCTGGGTTGTAGAACCTAGGTGTCCACTTTGGGCTGTAGAGCCTAGGTGTCCACTCTGGGCTGTAGAACCTAGGTGTCCACTCTGAGCTGTAGAGTCTTGGTGTCCACTGTGGGCTGAAGAACCTAGGTGTCCACTTTGGGCTGTAGAGCCTAGGTGTCCACTCTGGGTTGTAGAACCTAGGTGTCCACTTTGGGCTGTAGAGCCTAGGTGTCCACTCTGGGCTGTAGAACCTAGGTGTCCACTCTGGGCTGTAGAGCCTAGGTGTCCACTCTGGGCTGTAGAGCCTAGGTGTCCACTCTGGGCTGTAGAACCTAGGTGTCCACTCTGGGTTGTAGAACCTAGGTGTCCACTTTGGGCTGTAGAGCCTAGGTGTCCACTCTGGGCTGTAGAACCTAGGTGTCCACTCTGAGCTGTAGAGTCTTGGTGTCCACTGTGGGCTGAAGAACCTAGGTGTCCACTCTGGGCTGTAGAGCCTTGGTGTCCACTCTGGGCTGTAGAACCTAGGTGTCCACTCTGGGCTGTAGAGCCTAGGTGTCCACTCTGGGCTGTAGAGCCTAGGTCTCCACTCTGGGCTGTAGAGCCTTGGTGTCCACTGTGTGCTGAAGAACCTAGGTGTCCACTCTGGGCTGTAGATCCTATGTGTCCACTCGGGGCTGTAGAACCTAGGTGCCCACTCTGGGCTGTAGAGCCTAAGTGCCCACTCTGGGCTGTAGAGCCTAGGTGTCCACTCTGAGCTGTAGATGAGGCAGGATGATTTAATAAAGGATCTTAAGTGTAGCCTTGGCCTTTTGTTATCTGTGTTGGTGTATCATGATCAGAATGACATCACAGATGTGTTCGCCATGGTTTTTAAAAAGGGAAGGGTTAGTAAGCCTACCATACACAAGAGAGCCTAATGCCAGGGGTTACCTTCTACAGAAGGATATATTATGCAGCATTTATAGTATACCACACACCTTGAACCACAGGGGCCTGTAACAGTGTTTCTTGGGATGAGGGCTTCTTTTAATAAATAGTTGTACTATACCATGCAAACCCTCATCCCCATAAACATTGTTACAAGTCTTTAGGATAGTATACCATACCCTAGAAACATTGATACAGGTCCTTATGATAGTATACCATAGAAAAAAATGTTACAGGCCCATGTGATAGTATACTATACAAACCCTCATCCACCAGAGACATTGTTACAGGCCCCTGTGATAGTATACTATACAGACCCTCATCCACCAGAGACATTGTTACAGGCCCCTGTGATAGTATACTATACAGACCCTCATCCACCAGAGACATTGTTACAGGCCCCTGTGATAGTATACTATACAGACCCTCATCCACCAGAGACATTGTTACAGGCCCCTGTGATAGTATACCATACAGACCCTCATCCACCAGAGACATTGTTACAGGCCCCTGTGATAGTATACCATACAGACCCTCATCCACCAGAGACATTGTTACAGGCCCCTGTGATAGTATACTATACAGACCCTCATCCACCAGAGACATTGTTACAGGCCCCTGTGATAGTATACCATACAGACCCTCATCCACCAGAGACATTGTTACAGGCCCCTGTGATAGTATACCATACAAACCCTCATCCACCAGAGACATTGTTACAGGCCCCTGTGATAGTATACCATACAAACCCTCATCCAGCAGAGACATTGTTACAGGCCCCTGTGATAGTATACTATACAGACCCTCATCCACCAGAGACATTGTTACAGGCCCCTGTGATAGTATATTATACAGACCCTCATCCAGCAGAGACATTGTTACAGGCCCCTGTGATAGTATACCATACAGACCCTCATCCACCAGAGACATTGTTACAGGCCCCTGTGATAGTATACCATACAGACCCTCATCCACCAGAGACATTGTTACAGGCCCCTGTGATAGTATACCATACAGACCCTCATCCACCAGAGACATTGTTACAGGCCCCTGTGATAGTATACCATACAGACCCTCATCCTCAGAGACATTGTTACAGGCCCCTGTGATAGTATACTATACAGACCCTCATCCTCCAGAGACATTGTTACAGGCCCCTGTGATAGTATACTATACAGACCCTCATCCTCCAGAGACATTGTTACAGGCCCCTGTGATAGTATACTATACAGACCCTCATCCACCAGAGACATTGTTACAGGCCCCTGTGATAGTATACCATACAGACCCTCATCCACCAGAGACATTGTTACAGGCCCCTGTGATAGTATACCATACAGACCCTCATCCACCAGAGACATTGTTACAGGCCCCTGTGATAGTATACCATACAGACCCTCATCCACCAGAGACATTGTTACAGGCCCCTGTGATAGTATACCATACAAACCCTCATCCACCAGAGACATTGTTACAGGCCCCTGTGATAGTATACCATACAAACCCTCATCCACCAGAGACATTGTTACAGGCCCCTGTGATAGTATACCATACAAACCCTCATCCACCAGAGACATTGTTACAGGCCCCTGTGATAGTATACCATACAGACCCTCATCCACCAGAGACATTGTTACAGGCCCCTGTGATAGTATACCATACAGACCCTCATCCACCAGAGACATTGTTACAGGCCCCTGTGATAGTATACTATACAGACCCTCATCCACCAGAGACATTGTTACAGGCCCCTGTGATAGTATACTATACAGACCCTCATCCACCAGAGACATTGTTACAGGCCCATGTGATAGTATACTATACAAACCCTCATCCACCAGAGACATTGTTACAGGCCCCTGTGATAGTATACTATACAAACCCTCATCCACCAGAGACATTGTTAAAGGTCCCTTTGCTTAGAGTTAAGTCAGAATTCATCTGATGGTTTAGTAATTGTTTTTCATTTGACAAAGACATAGAAGCTGATAGACTGTCAGAATAATTCTTAATCATGTGAATTCTAGCATTAATTACATTAATTTACCACAGAAAACAGATGCATTGATGATATAAAAGGTTTACCTCAGAGGCAGATTTTGATTATATAAATGGTTTAACACAGAAAACAGACGCATTGATGTTATAAATGGTTGAACACAGAAGCAGATTTTGATGATATAAATGGTTTACCACAGAAAACAGACGCGTTGGTGATATGAATTCATATATTATATGATATTATATATATACTCAAGGGACGATGTCTTCCAGGGAAAGCACGAAACGGGAAAATCTCTTTACAGCAGTGTTGTGACATTGAGATTTTGATAGCATTAAACAATGGCACGGCTGACGGAAGTTCAGAGGGGTCAGGCCATTGCGATGATTATGTAAGGTCAAAGGCAAATACAGGTTGCCAGACATTTCGGTTTTCATGTTTGCACTATAGAATGTCTTGTTAGACGTCTAAAGGAAACTTGGCGGGTTGCTGACGGACCTAGACCTAGGCGTCCGCACGTGATATCACAATGTCAGGAAAGGTTTATTTGACTCGCGCATTTGCGCAATCGGCACCTTACTGAAACTGAATCTGTTCTTCATGCCATAGGTACTCATAATCGTCCTATCCATGCAAAATCTGTAAGGAAACGATTGCGGGGAGGTGGTCTGAGGGCACATCACCAGTTTGTGGGTCTGCCCCTTACCGTTGCTCGTCGCCAGCGTCATATGGCTTGGGTGGAGGCACATGCCCCCAGAATATTCCCATTGAGGAAGTGGAGGCAGGTCTTGTTTACTGATGAATCCCGATGCAACCTTTTTTCCAACAGACGGTCGACGTCGTGGAGCACGTTTTGCCGACTTGCGTAGTAGATACGGATAGGTTTGGGGATGGATCGGTTATGGTGTGGGGAGGAATCTCGCATGGAGTTAAATCACCACTTGTTGTGGCAGCGGCTAATTCAACTGCCGCTAGGTATAGAGATGAGATCCTCCAACCTCATGTTGTCGCATTATTGCAGAAAAACAACCACATTCCACCAGGATAATGCTCGGCCCCATGTAGCGAGGATCTGTCGCGACTTTCCCACTAACAACAATATCCACCCACTGGACTGGCCGCCATACAGCTACGACCTTTCCCCTATTGAGCACTTGTGGGAACAGATGGATAGACAGGTTCGTCGACGCCAGCCTCCCCCCGTTACTCTGACCCAACTGAGAGCGGCCCTTTTTGAAGAATGTGAAAACATCGCAATGAGGAGGATCAACTCAATTATGAACTCAATGACTTGGAGAATCAGGGCTGTGGAGAGAGCGAATGGGCGACATACCTGGTATTGACTAGCCAGCTCCCATAATCAGTTCCATTTCGATTACAGAATTCTCTTTCAATTCTCTTCAATCATTCCTAAATCACTAACCAGATACAAATAGTTGATTTTGCAGTTTGTTCTGTATGGATTAATCTTCATTCTTATTTAAACATATTGAACATTATACTCGACGTCTTGCCTAGAATCATCTTCAAATTTTACCCTGCGTTTCTTCTATCCTTTGAATGTATTATGTTATGTAATTATGATTTTTGAAAAAAAAATGGATTCGATGATATATGAAATCTTCCTTGAATCTTGCATTTTCCCCAACATTTGATCTCAACTTTCAGCAATCTAGCGTTACATAATGAAGCTGTGTTTTCCAAAGTGGCATTCCCATTGGGCTAGTTTGAATCTCATCTCAAGATCTCTCTCTCCCTCTGTCTTATTTTGAGCCTTTCATTTCAAAACATGGGCCATTTTATCAAGTGCTTTTTGAGTAGCATTTTCATTCCATCATTTGTCTTCGTTCGTTTTTAGTGTTTATACCTTTTCATCTTTAGTCTAAATTGAATAATTTTTCTATAATCTATGTGAAAATTGTGCAGCCATCTTGGTTAATTAGTACTCTTAATGTATATTTGATTTCCCCCCAATTTCGTCACTAATTTAATACCTTAGATATTCCAGTCTATCAGTGTTATCATCCGCAGTAGTAGAGATAGATCCCTGAAGGGCAAAATATTCTTCCTTTTAATGGGGGATGACGCCTACAACTATTGCCATCTCCCGGAATTACTCCCTTCGTTTCACTTTATCAGTGGTGCAGGAGAAGAAAAGGGTGCGTGTGACTGATTATCTGTGTGACGGGTCGCCATTGCCTGTAACTCGTTATCACTGTATTGAAAAATCCCTTATTCATTTTATCACTCTGATTCTGAACTGCCGAGTCCTTCAGTTTATCTCAAAGTCGCTGATGTGGGATTTTATCAAAGGCGTCCATGAAATCCAGTTGTCAAATGTGTCGATCTTCCGGGAATTTAACAAAATTGTCTATTGCTAAGAAGACTATATCTCGTGTGTTTCACAAAGCCGTCGTCTCTTGCCTGTGTTTTTCCTGAAGTCTACTACACTGGTTAAACTAAGTGGCCTAGTTAACTGCTCAGGATCGGAATATCTTTAAAGCATGGCGTTAATACTGCCTTCAGACAATGATTGGTTGGACAACGGTATCCTGATATAATTCCGTAGTACGTTAAGGACCTCGTGGCATATGTCCGACCTTGAGATTACATTCGTTTAAATCTACCAAATTATTTCAACTTTTTGTACAATTAACACTCTACATTCAGTTTGCGTGGAGGTTTGTAATTTCTTAAATGCGTGTCCTTGCAAACGGTATATTTACAAATATTTCCAAATCTTTATGAAATTTCATAAATTATGTATCCCACTTTCGTTCCGTACCTGGACTGAAAACTACCATTTATTATTCCATTATGTGCCAAGTTGCTCCATTTCGTTGGTCATGTCGTCAGGCAGTTGTTTGTAAAACACGTTTACGTCGGTACAGCAAAAGTCAACAGAGAAAGTACGTAAGAAATTAAACACAGAGGATAATGTTAGTAATTTGTTTTAATCTTTCATGTATATTTCATACAATAAATTAATCATTTTCACTTCCGACACAAATTTAATCCGATTATGTAGTCAGCATGGGTACTGTAGAGATTACACAGAGTCACATAGGAAATTCACAGGATGGTTTCATAAACTTCTACGCCATTGGCGTCTTCAACAGCTAAACATCGACGACACATGGATCTGACGAGTATTTGTATCTCAAGCCAATGGATGACACTTCATTCCTGAATGTTTATAGTGCGAAAGTCTTTTTGGGGTTACATTGCCAATGCGCCAGTCAAGGCTGTCCCACCAATGTTCTGTTGAGAGTGTGGGCCAAGGGGACAAAGACAGATCTAAGGAAATCCAGAGAGATGGGCAAGGAGTGATGTCTTGTGTTATCCTCTGGAATGAGTATCAAACGTCGGCATTCAATACAGGCACATAAACAGGCTGTATGCTTTCGTCAAAAACTTTTGCGCACTCAAATTGTCATTCGCCATAATCATAATGGGGTTTGTCTGTAAAAAAACAACATCGTATATAACACTGGAGTCGAATCCATCGCTCATGTTCCTCACACTGTCGTCACAGATTGCAATGGTACTGCTTTAGCATAGGTCCACGGTAAGTCCAAATTCCGTATTCATCTAGTCTCTTTCGCGAGTGTTGATCCGATTGTCTGTTCGTCCAGGATTAACTGTCACTGTTCAAGTAATCGATAGAAACTCGTCCTGCAAATATGACGATCAGATGCAAGGGCGGTAACTTTTGTCCTTCCACAACTGCGGCCGTCGGTCGGCAGCCGACTCAGGGACTCTGCTGACGATATATCGACGCTGGATCACGCTAACATATCTAGCCACTCCATTTGAATGTATCCTGCACCATCCTATCCGTATATAAGGACCGAGTGTTCCTTCAAACGTGAACATTGTAGATATAACAGTGCGTTCATGTATTTCAGCAATGTTTCTAATTTGAAATGTGGCATTAGTATCAGCCGATTTTGTAATCTAAAATACATTCAAAATACGAAGAAAATCACGCACTTGCCTGTCGGCAGTAAAATACTTTTCAGTTTTATTATTTTTGACGTTTTCATCGTGTTTAAGATTGTAGACTGTCGAGTGTTTTCAGGGGGATTTGCCAAGCTGATGACAGCAGTATACTGTGATGCGCCGTTCAGAAGTCATATGGAAAGAGACGTCCACAGCGCTTACAGGATGAAGAGTCGGTATGTACATACGATACGATATAATATATTCTCTAATTAATGACGGTATAATTAAACTTGTACCTATGACATATTGAAACATACAATATTGAATTATTTAGATTCAAACATTTCAAATGACTGGTAGCCGGATACAACTTCCAAACTACTGATTAGTTTAAAACTATATAAACAGTGTATGAATCTATACATTATGTACAATCAGGTGATATCAGCATTATTCTCCAAATAAAACTTTCAATTAGAAATGATACATTAGAACTACAAAACAAAATCAAATATCTACCCATGTGAAGTGTCAGGAAGAGTTACATATATATCAAAATACGTCTCGGACACGATAACTTTTACATACAAAGGTGTGTGAGGACAGACGAAATTAAGATGAAATATCAAAATACGGCTCGGACACGATAACTTTTACGTACAAAGGTGTATGAGGACAGACGAAATTAAGACATCACAAACCAGTTTCAATAAAGAATCAATGACCAATTGTGTGTGAAGGACGTAAATTGTCGTTGTTTTAAATGATACTATGTTCTGTGAGCAGTAACATATAATGACGTAGTCCATATCATTCTTACTTACCAACTGAAACCCTATAAAACAGAGGAACATAAGCGACCAGCGCCTGGGTAGGCATTCCAACGTTAATGTAGAAATAAACATACCGCACCTGCATCGAATTATCAGTACGTGCTTTTTCTGTACAGTGCCTACCCATAGTTTAATGGACCTTGGGCATGAAAACAGTCATGGGACTTAATGAGATTTCGCGAAAACTGTTTCCAAACGAATATCGGCACAAAAATAAATCAGACGAAAATAAACACATCGACGACCAACTGACATAAAAAGGTCGATAGAACGCTAGAATAGTTTAGACTTCTGATTTTTCTGTGTGAATAACTACAAAATATACATTGCAACACTTTGTTTAGGACATTACATCTTCGCTAGAACCGTTGTCACATGGTGTCCCTCACATTTTATAGTGCTGTCACACTGAAAAGTTATATTCCTACACGATCAGACGGCCTTAACCTTCATATTACGCCGAAAACAATTATTGGTGCACACAGTGTAAAACGCCAAATAAAACTGCTCACGAAGAGGAGACGGCAAAAGTTTCTGAAAATGAAACAAGTTATGATTTCTCTTATGTTTGTTGCAGAACAAAAAATGTTGTTTTGTCTTTTGGGATCATTAAATGGACTTGCCTAATACTACCGACGTTATATTACAAATCACATTACAAAGAATATATTTACAATTACGATCTTGTGTAAATCGATGGCAGTTACACGGATGGTGTTGATGTTCTATTACAGAATGTGATTCTTAACGATTTTTTTTTTACAATAAAGAACATACACCATTGGCTGTACATAAGATTGACTGTATTCACAAGACTCACATGTCCATATCAACCACTTTGCTCCTTGGAACAAACAAGATGATTAAAAAATCTGGAATATATTAAAGATTTGCGATTCCGTGATACGACCCTGTTTTTTTCGTGTCCGTGTAAATTACCACTGTTTGACTGACGAGGCATTGTCTCCTGTCAGAAATGTGAAATTCTATGTGTGTACACGGAATTCTGATGGAATGTAGACATGTCTTATTTATACACTCCCTCCACACAAGTACCATATTGGGTGATGTAGCCTCATTTTGACATATCACATGATTTAAATTATCTATCGAAAACAAAAAAATATCATCATCTTTATCTTAGAATATGATTGTATTGTCTTCAACAGAGCACAAATTCGTCTCTATATGTAAGACCTCTCGTGGTATATATATATATAGTGACATATTGATAACATATACTACAGTTAAAAAGACACAACATGACCACAAACTGTGATAACACTGTAGATGTCGAGTATAATATCATTATCCAAAGTTTATCCAAGAATCTGTGTTGTACATAACAAAGATGACCTATTTCTCGGCGACGTTGATGAGTGTTGTACCTGTAGCGGATGGTTCCGATGCAGTACTGTCCCCCCTCGGGAGACCTCGCCTCCGATTCACAGGCGCGGCATGTATTACAATCTCCTGTAGCTGTTCTTGTGTCAAACTAAAGGGAGATAAGTCGTTATCAGACATCTGACGACGAAGAATTTTTTGGTGCCTCGTTCTGGCATTCAAAATTGGTCGCGTGGGATATAATGTGGATTCTGATTGGTTGACGACAGGAATTTCTTGTAGAATAATCATAGGATGAAGCTGCGTGTCGGACACAGAGCCAGTGATGGTTACTGGCTCTGTGTTAGTAAATGGTGGAATGGGTTCTTCTTTTGGGAGACTCGGGGGCTGTGATATCTCCTTATGTGGTGACAACTCCTCTTTCTCTGTTTTTGTTGCCTCTTCCCTCACTTTGTCAGGTCCCTTACGATTATGCTCAGAATGTAACCTCTCATAATGTTGATCTGAAACAGCAACAGAAATCATCATAATTATTTTCCGTTATTGTTCGTTTAGTTGTTGAAAATTGTTCATTTATTTGTTGAAAACATGACAGATACATGCAAATGAGTCAGCTTCATTTTGTTACGATAATATGTAGAATTTCACTTGATCAGAAATCCGGTGGATCTTGGACTTCCGGGATATTGAAGGAAACAATGAACCGTCTAGCTTATCCCCTAAAGGTCATTTCTTACAACTACGCTTACGTGACTTACTTTTATGAGTACACGTGCACGTTGTCGCCGCTAATGGGTTTCGCCATATGGATTACATAATCTCCTTGTATACATATTAAAGAAAAACCAATGTTTACATGATCATTGTCATTCAAATGAGTCGACATTTACATGAGAATTGGTATTGATATTTCCCGGGAATATCTCGTGCGACATTGCTCTTCCCTAACACACTCATTAAATGTCAAATAACGTTACAAGGATTATTCAACGGGAAGCCGAGGCCCAATCTGACACGCGAGCACGCAATCTCTCGTGCAGTGTCAACGCATGTTTGGAAAAGATTTCTGAAGTAAATTCAATGTAAAAAGTCTAAAACCCAGTATCGTGTTGTGATTGAATAACAGATCACATCATTCGTTAAAGATATGCACTTAAGTTACATAATTCAATTTTAAAGATTTTTTTCATTTAAATAGGATTTTTTGATTTGTTAAATATTTGCCATATCTTCTGTAATATTCGTAATCCGAGAAACGGATTGTGTTTCCTTGAAATGACAACAACCACTAGCCATTTAGTTACCAATTTACTGATCGAAAAGCAGATTTTTTTCTTCTAATTACTAGTTTTACAAAATAGAAATTTGAAATTCATGCACACCACGTGAAAAAGTATAAATCTCGCTGTGATATAGAGCATGTTACAAGTTTTACTAGATGTAGACCTGAAGGTTAATCTGATGTAATAAACACCAATCCCGCGTGATATAAAGTATGCTACAAGTTTTACTAGATGTGGACTAGAAGGTTAATCCGACAATGTGATAAAAACACCAATCCCTTGTGATAGAGTATGTTACAAGTTTTACTAGATGTAGACCTGAAGGTTAATCTGACAATGTAAAAAAAAAACAAAACACCAATCCCTTGTGATATAAAGAATGTTACAAGTTTGTTTAGATGTGGACCTGAAGGTTAATCTGACAATGTAAAAAAACACCAATCCCTTGTGATGTAAAGAATGTTACAAGTTTGTTTAGATGTGGACCTGAAGGTTAATCGGACAATGTAAAAAACACCAATCCCGCGTGATATAGAGTATGTTACAAGTTTGTTTAGATGTGGACCTGAAGGTTAATCGGACAATGTAAAAATGCCTTTCATAAGAAGATTCATACTTATATGGAAAGGGAGTCTTCACTACGCCTATATTGTGAAAAAAATATCAATCCCACTGATTTAGAGATTTTAACAGACTGATATGATTTGATTTGGACATGAAGGCCGCGCCCTCAATTTGTAACATCCTATTACTTTACCTGGTATTGACATATAGGCCACGCCTTCAAATTGTTACATCTGTCTACTCGACCTGATATGGACATGAAGGCCACGCCTTCAAATTGTTACATCTGTCTACTTGACCTGATATGGATATGAAGGTCACGCCCTCAATTTGTTACATCCGACTACTTTACCTGTTATTGACATACAGGCCACGCCCACAATTTGTTACATCTGTCTACTTTACCTGATATGGACATAAAGGCCACGCCCCACATGATACTCCAGATCCAGCCCAGGAGAAGGATGAAGGCGGTGATAAACTGGAGAAAGGCCACCCACGTATTTACGAGAACAATTTTCTTCTTGCTCGTTTCTTTCGTTTTGGCTCTGGTACAGCACAGGATCGACAAACCGGATATGAACGTCCCTGTAATGACACAAAGACACATTGTATGACACAATGACTTGGAAACTCTAGAATGATACAAACCAGGAGAGGACCATTTTACGGGAATTACTTCACAATGACTGATATAAAAGTGAATTTTCAAAACTCTTCCTTCCTGTCTCATCTTAACAACCTTATTGTTTCCATTGTTGTGATTATCACGGAATCTCACAAACTCCAGCGCCTCGCGTTATAGCGATAAAAGCTCCTCATGACTTTTTTTTCTGGGTAACTATGGTACATGTAACAAATACAGTCCGAGGGGAAATAATTCAATTTATATAACGGCTGCTTGTCGTGCAATAAATCTTGCTTTTATTCATATTTAACGTCTTTTGCCACACGTCTTGTCAGCCATAAGGCTGTCTTTGGTAGTCCTCATTTGTAGAGCGAGGAAAAAATGGTGGCTTACACGCGATGTCGCCTTTGACCTCTGAATTGATAAGGTAAGAATCAGGGTAAAGAACACGCTTTGTACTTCTTTGTCAATTAATTGTTGTTGACTGCGCAGATACGATTCAGATCGACCAGTAGAACAAATTAATCTGTTTTGTATTGTTGGAACAGATACGCTGAAAAACTGGATGTGTATTGACACAAATACTGAATAATCTATAGACTTAATGCAAGAATATATAATGGATTAGGAATCCATGGTAGAATAGACATTCTTAAACACAACTAGAAGAAAAAGGAATCCGCCATGTTTATCATCTTACAAGACATGGTCAGTAAAGCCCCGTGCTATGTAAACACACGGACTAAGGACAACACAAACACAAGAAACAATATCAGAAAGCTTCGGACACAATTGAATCGTAAGAAATTATAATAAAACGAATGAAAAAAAAAATAAATAAATAAATAAAATGGCTGAATTCTTAGAAGGATTGAACATTTGCTGAGTTTTAACAGTGCGATTAGTTTTAAATGGCGATAAGTATATACCTGAAGTGAAGTGAAGATAACTAACAAGTAAATACCAAACGAACGGATTTATTAGTCATATGGATTGGCTCAGGATTACATAAAAAAACAATTAAAAGTTACTTTTACAATAAAAATATTTTATCAATCAGATGTCATCTTGACATTTAACATATATTTAACAGCCCTGATGTAGAGAACCGTAGCCATTAATAGAGATCACATCAACATTGTATCAGGTCTTCTTCATTATGTACAGTCAATTATATAGATTGCTTTGGAATTGTGTTTTAATCATCGACGAGGATTTAATAGATTAAGGCGAACATCGGTCGCTGTGTTCAATAGCAACAGTTCAATATGAATTTAATAAATCTTGGTATGTATTCTGAAAATCAATAAAGGTTACGTTGTTGGAAATCGAACACATATTCTCATGTTGTACGTGCAAAGGTAACCGGGAGTCCATCCCTGGTCTAAACTGTATAATAAATCTGTACTACACCACACGTATCAACACAGAGGCATGGATCGTACATCATCTCAAAACAGACAACCCTAAGTACTGTGAGGTATGCACCACCGTAAACAACATCATCTGTACGGAACATGTTTATTTAATGAAAAGAATCTGGTGATCGAGGAACGCTTTAAAAAAACACCAATCTATCCACTCGCATAGGTCACGGCATCTAACAAGCATAGAACAGTGATTAAGACTTTACGTCAGACGGCCGAGTGCTGGCAATTAAAAGCAATAACTTCTATAACAAACAACAATAGTCTTTCCTTTTATCTACAGTGTGTCAAGCAACGCTAACTTCTGGATACCTAATTGTGATGTACAGGTATCCCGGGGATCTCACTGTTACGGTCTTATTCAATAACAGCACGTGAACATCTTGTTGTTAGGGGATCCTGGTAAGTACATATTGTGCGAGTCCTAATTACAGGAAGTGAACATCTTGTTGTTAGGGGATCCTGCTATATATTGTGCGAGTCCTAATTACAGGAAGTGAACATCTTGTTGTTAGGGGATCCTGGTAAGTACATATTGTGCGAGTCCTAATTACAGGAAGTGAACATCTTGTTGTTAGGAGTTCCTGGTAAGTACATATTGTGCGATACCCAATTACAGGAAGTGAACATCTTGTTGTTAGGGGATCCTGGTAAGTACATATTGTGCGAGTCCTAATTACAGGAAGTGAACATCTTGTTGTTAGGGGTTCCAGCTATGTATTTTGAGAGTCCTAATTACAGGAAGTGAACATCTTGTTGTTAGGGGATCCTGGTAAGTACATATTTTGCGAGTCCTAATTACAGGAAGTGAACATCTTGTTGTTAGGGGATCCTGGTAAGTACATATTGTGCGAGTTCCAATTACAGGACGTGAACATCTTGTTGTTAGGGGTTCCTGGTAAGTACATATTGTGAGAATCCTAATTACAGGAAGTGAACATCTTGTTGTTAGGGGATCCTGGTAAGTACATATTGTGCGAGTTCCAATTACAGGAAGTGAACATCTTGTTGTTAGGGGATCCTGGTAAGTACATATTGTGCGAGTTCCAATTACAGGAAGTGAACATCCTGTTGTTAGGGGATCCTGGTAAGTACATATTGTGCGAGTTCCAATTACAGGACGTGAATATCTTGTTGTTAGGGGTTCCTGGTAAGTACATATTGTGAGAATCCTAATTACAGGAAGTGAACATATTGTTGCTAGGGGATCCTGCTATATATTGTGCGAGTCCTAATTACAGGAAGTGAACATATTGTTGTTAGGGGATCCTTGTATATATTGTGCGAGTCCTAATTACAGGAAGTGAACATATTGTTGTTAGGGGATCCTTGTATATATTGTGCGAGTCCTAATTACAGGAAATGAACATATTGTTGTTAAGGGATCCTTGTATATATTGTGCCCTAATTACAGGAAGTGAACATCTTGTTGTTAGGGGATCCTCCTCCTAATTACAGGAAGTGAACATATTGTTGTTAGGGGATCCTGCTATGTATTGTGCGAGTCCTAATTACAGGAAGTGAACATATTGTTGTTAGGGGATCCTGCTATATATTGTGCGAGTCCTAATTACAGGAAGTGAACATCTTGTTGCTAGGGGATCCTTGTATATATTGTGCGAGTCCTAATTACAGGAAGTGAACATATTGTTGTTAGGGGATCCTGCTATATATTGTGCGAGTCCTAATTACAGGAAGTGAACATATTGTTGTTAGGGGATCCTGCTATATATTGTGCGAGTCCTAATTACAGGAAGTGAACATATTGTTGTTAGGGGATCCTTGTATATATTGTGCGAGTCCTAATTACAGGAAGTGAACATATTGTTGCTAGGGGATCCTTGTATATATTGTGCGAGTCCTAATTACAGGAAGTGAGTGTTTTGTTTATCTTGGGTTCTCGGAGCACCATATTGATGGTTGTGGATTCGCGATAAATAAAGTTCCACACACAATAAGAGCCTGTCTTGTTGTAAGGTCTTTGTATCTTAAACCTCCAAGCGATAGGTAGTGCCAAGGAAACGAAACCCCCTAACCAACCAATGACTGAACATTTCGTCGTGCCAATAAAAGCCTCACAGGATATTGAGGTTTGTTGGGACATTTCTGAGGACTGATGAATGGACCTAATAACACCTTTCTATTTAAATATATTAAGTTACAGAGGACAAATTTTTTTTCTAGTTATCAGTTAATCTGACGTCACCCCTACACATACAGACATGAACTGCATGCGATCGATGGACTTGTCAAACGCGTTTATTGTAAACAACGTCTAAAGGTCAAACAGTCAAATGAAGGTCGTCTGTCGTGTACTTTAATAGCTACAATTCCGTTTTTAGAGCGGTTTGTTTCTGAGCTAAATTTATACCGCCACACTGGGACAACATGGATCAGTAGCATTTTCAGCAACACGTTATTTAGAAAGGGATAGCATTGTTATTGTATTGTGTCGAGAATGTATGAATTGAGGTGCAACACAGCTACTTAGATTGCGTGACGAGACAGAGAAAGGACATGGTTTAAGACTGAAGAGGAACAATGGCACGGACGTTCAGACATACGATTAGATACGTGTCTTTTTAAACTAGCCATGTCTCTAGAATCTTGAACTAAAAGTTTTGATCTCTTAGAAATACCTGATCCAAAATTTTCTACGAAGGGGATATGAACTGATAACTAGATATTTCTTGATTATACTGTACACTACTCATAACCAGACAAGAGTCTTTCCAGGGTGTTGCGACTGGAACAATTACGACCAAACTCAGTAGTGTAATGCTACGCTCATGCAAATTATACGCTTGTATCACACAACGTGGATGTGAATACGAACGCCCTTCTCTGTTATCACCGACAGCCAGAAACATCCTCGGCACTCTGTAGCGGTGCATCTCTTGATTGTAGATATAATTAACACTGAACCGATAACATTGATGAGTTTGGACATTGAGTGAGGTCCGGGCAACTATTTCGTCATCAGAGGTGATAATTTATCGCTGATAAGGATGATCCAGTTGGAAAGTGAACCCCACACATCAACGAAGATCAATAGGTGTTCTTTTTCCTAATAAACAATAACGCTAATGTTCCAGTCACGCGACAGATAACGAAACAGACGAATCTACAAAAAGGCATTTCTTAACATAAATGAGATTAGATAATTAGTGGTCTAGAAAAAGAACTTGGTATGTTAGCGGGACAAGAAGATAAAGAATGCCGTTCATTAGCGATACTAGAGAGAGAAATTCGCACACTAGCGAAGTTTGATGAAGAACGACACACCTTGCCGGCACTACTGAAGCGAAATTCGCACACTACCCAAGTTTGATGGAAAACGACATACATCGCCGGAACTGCTAAAGAGAAATTCACACACTACCCTAGTTTGATGGAGAACGACACACATTGCCGGCACTACTAAAGAGAAATTCACACAATAGCCATGTTTGATGGAGAACGACATACATTGCCGGCATTACCAAAGAGAAATTGCACCTTGTTGCCAAACTTTTTCAAAGTAATTTGCAGAA